AAAGGATCTAATAAAAGTTATTCCATTGATAAAAAGTAAAATTAAGACAATTAAGTAGTAAATTAATTTTTTTAAATCAACAGCTCGGCGATAAATTAATTACCAGTTAAATACCGTTCTTGGAATTTTTAGCTGATTAGCATCAGTCACCATAAAACTAACTTCTTACAAGAAATGGGTGCACATTTTCAGGAAAATCCTGCTTATTATTTCTAAACAAGAAAAATATTGTCACCCTCCCTTTGATCAGTCAACCCACAACACCGGCAGCAAATCCGGAATCCGGATGGAGGTGGGAAAAAAATTGGTGCAGTCGATAAATCAGCTCGTTGGGAATCCCTGACGCGAAAATTATGCCGCTCGTTTTCTCGAGCGGCTGACGTCACCGGCCGGCGCAACAATGAACCATTGACGAGATGATGATGGATCGGTGACGTCACTTTCTTTTCATTCATGAGCCGGCCGGCGGCCACGCGAAAATCGTCGGTAGTCAATCATCGGCGCGGGAATTAATTATCAATTCAATCAGTCAGGTGGGACATGCTAATGAGCCCCTGTGTTTATTGTTCACCTGATCGAGGCGGGTCCTCCACGTAAATCCTTTGGCGCTGCGTACAGGATCTCGTGTCAATCAAACTAAGCAGCAGGATGTGCGTTTTTAATTTTATTAAACACTTATCAAGCACATCGAAGGCAAACTGGTTTTAGGGTACCTAATGTGTAATATCTGGCCGAAATCCTGCTTGTTATTGCGCGTGTAAATTGCTCCAGAAGACGATAAAAGTTGCAGCACAGTTAGGGTATGCAACTCGCACAACGCGGGCACAATAATGGTTGCATAGCTTGTATTTGCAAAAAGATCTCCTAAAATTCATCACCAATTATATTCCATTTTTAGAAGTTCATTTCAAATGAAATATTCCAACATTTATTTAACCGAATTATTTTTTACAGTTTTAAAATTTTTTTTGAAAATTTAAATTTCCTAATGCAAAGAGAACAAAGATAAAATTTATTTATAAATATATTACATTTTTACTTCTAAGTAAATTTAATTCCCTTTGATAAAAATCATTGCTTAACTATAGGGTCACTGCTGTGAAAACATAGATTAAAATTGCCATTAGGTAAAATTTAGGCAAAGTTCACGCGGATAGGCAAATAAATAATGACCAGGTCGCCTAATTGAGTTAATGCAAGTGCGGAGCGCGGCGTGAGCGCGAGAGATGAGCAAAGAGAGGGAAAGTGAGATGCTGCCGCAGGTAGCGGGGAAGGTCATCACTCCTCCGTCGGTCGGTCGGTTGGTTCCTGGCCGGACTGAAGCGCGCTCGCAAGTCTGCCGCCAGTCGCCTCTTGGCTCCTCTGCCGCTCGTCCCAACACGCGACCACTCTCGCCGGCTTCCTCCTCGGCCCCCAAATGGCTGCAAACTCGCCCCCGATCATTTTCAACGTGTTGGTGAGTTGCTTCAGACCCGAAACAATGTGCTGGAGATTTTCTAAAAAAATTGGTTCTTGAAAAAAAAAATTGAATTCGTCTCTTTACTACTAATTGAATATAGTTTATGCCCTTTGATTTGACCCTTAATGAAAGGTGAATTCATTTAGAATTGTAAAATTTATTTAACACTTGCTCACTTAATTACAAAATAACTTGTCTCATTGCCAATGTTGATTGCTCAGGGGAAAGTGCGTGCCTTGTTTGTTTTGCTTTAAGTCAAGTGCACTCATATGTGTTTTGATGTCAGCTCAAAATTCCATTGCGTCATTCCGTTCACTCTGTGACTCACGAGAGTTTGCCTTCAAATTGATGCCTAAACGTACTAATTGTAAGTTTCAAACACTAATCATGATTTTAAGTGATGGATCTCTTTTGCTTTTTGGAGATATCAGGTTATGAGAAATTAATTTAAACCCTCTAGAAAGAAAGCTGTTTTGACGGTGCTTCCTCGTTTTGCAGCCAAACGTAATTTCATCAGAAATAAATCGTCACACGTAGCCTGATTTGCATATTATAAAAAAGCGTACAATAAACTTTGTTGGATTTGAATGCTTTTAGGCATAAAAATATCTAAATTATACGCTTCATAAATAAGAGCCTGAAATTATATAAAGTAAAGTAATAAAATTCATTCAGTAAAAGAAATATTTACATAAATCACTTTGTATTGCAGCCTCCTCCTCCATTACCCCCGAAAAATTCTGCTATTGAAACAGGCAAAATAGTGTCCCTTAATATAAGTTTGTGTAGACAAAATTTAGTATTTTTTTTTAGCATGCTCATTGAAGGCACATATCCAAACCCAATTGTTAACAATTTAGAAGTGCACAATATTATGTAACAGAAACTTGACGAACTTATAGAATAAAAGAAGCACAATATGCGTCAACTTTTGAGCAATCTGTCGTTCCAAGCCTCCGGGGTATATTATTTGACAATCGAAAATAATGTATTTGGAACGCTATTCTGGCACCTTTATATTGTAAAAAAAGAATAATAACTCTTGTGTGCACGCGGAATTATTTACATAAAAGAAAGTTCAAGAGAGCTTCCCTCGCTCAGCATAATTATTTGTTGCACGCCAGCACTCACGCAAAATCAAAGAGTTGCCTCACAAGCAACCAAAACGAAGCCATAATTCAGCCGCTTTCAAATTGTTTCAGTATTAACGAGACGTTGCTAATTTTTCCCAGATGGAAGTTTTAAATAAAGAGCTAGCAAACCTGGTCGACAGGCAATTTCGTCCTGTCCGCAATAATTTATCTGGTGTTCGTTTTTTAAGGAGCCACCTGTGAGAAAACGATATTTGAAAAAAAAAGATATGCCGAGCAACGACTGCCAGACAGCCGGCCGGTTTGCCTCACTTTTCGCGAATTGTTTTATCACTTGGCCCGGGCGCTTTTCGCGCACCCGTCGCGAATTCCTGCCAAAACGGAGCAACGAGTCGTTTCTCTGGCAACCACCTGACTTATTGCGGACCAGTCTTTCGTGGCTGAGAAGGTCGAATTCCAGACCAGATGGACTGAAACCGAGCTAATTCTTGGCACTTTTATTAAGGGTTATTGATGACATCAAGAATATTAAAAACCAAGACGAGACAATGCGATAAGCAGCTTTAGGCAATAAATTTCAGCTTTTCTGTGCGCGGCGCCAACGAAATTGTTTTCTAACACCTTACATACCATCAGAGTAGCACCTTAAGCCGTGTAGCGTTTTTGCGCGACCGTCTTTGTTGCTGAAAGAAGCGGCGCCACTCATCTTTTGTGCCTTCTCCACAAATTAAGTCCGTCGGTGCTTTATTTGCTTACTAATCTGCCTTTTAATATTGTTTAGTTTCATAATTTAAATTTAAATTTAAGCAATTTGTGACTTCTTTAAATGCTTAAAGGTTAGAAATAGGTGATTGTAACCAACATTAATGTAAACGTTAAAATAAATTTATAATACCTTACAAAACTTACATAATAATTATAATTTTCTGTTTTTAATTACTCTATGTAAAATTAATTCTCAATTCAATTGATACACATTTATTCAAAAGAGCAAAAAAAATTATTCAAATAATTTGAATTTCAGTATCGTTAAATAAAAGTAATGCTGAATATTGTTTGTCTTCCACGTCTCACAATTAATCTAGAAACCGAATTAAATGACAAAATTATAATTATTTTAAAGGAACTTTGCAATCGAGGATTGATTCATGGTGTTTCGATTGAATTGTAGTTTTCCCGCGATGTATTTTTTTCTTTTAGTTTATTGTTTTGCAAACTACACTCTAAAACCCAGTGGCAAAATTCTAAATTGCAATTCAAATACCATGAAAATTGAAATTAGAATTAAAATTAATGGCAGGTTAAAATTGTGGAATATATGATTGAGTTACAATTTTTAAAATTAGTTACATTAACGATTCAATAAAGTTAAAATTGTAAACTAGTTATTATTAATCGTTTTATTATGCATGGTAGAAGCAGGTTTTCTATGATAAGTTAATAGATCAACATAATACAAACAAAGCAAACAACAATCATCATAAACCAGTTGACCTGCATGAACGATTTTTGCAACTTGTGCTGTCAGTGAAAAATTGTAAAACCAAAGCTATGCAACAAGCCAATTCATTACGCTTAACCACAATAAATTACTGAAATCCTTGGAAGTGCACGCGCGGACAAGAAAATTAGAATGATTGTTCTTGACTGTTTGCAACAACGAGAGCAATTCAGTGCCCTTATAAATATAAGCGCGTATGCATTATTCATTTTTAAAAACAATGATTTAGCATCTGGAGGGAAAAAAATACAGCACGCTCTGAAAAAGCAGGAACTTAATTGTGTTTGTTTAGAAATGCGCTGATTAAAGCGAGAACGGAAAATTTAATTAATAAAACGATGAATTATTTATCAATCTACCCCGTCCAAGGTGGAATTGCCTGACTAATTGAAAGTAATGAGACCGTTTGCAATGAGTGGCTGCGTGGGTTTCAAATTATTCACGTGCGGCAACGATTTATGAATGATTTTGGCGAGCGTGGGCCGCCGACCCCCGGCCGCTGCCTCCGTGCGTGCAAACACTCCTCTGTTTGCATGCATAAAATTATTCGTCTGCTTCTGAATGACTTTCATCTTTTCCGCGCCACGCTATTTTCGAGTTGAATTATTCATTTGGACGAGAGCCGACAGAAACACACCGCCGCGGGGAATATATTTGCAATTATCGCGCAATGTACATTGTGCTTAAAAAGTTTAAAATCTTTTTACAGTCTAGTTTTTTTTTGCAAATTTTACTTAATTGGAATTTATAGAAAAAATACTACAGATTTTAATCATTAAACCAACACAATAGTTGATGAACGATAAAAATTTGCAATTTTTGCTCGAATTTATGATTTATAATTCTTTATGACTGTATCTATTTTGTCACAAATAATTAATTTGTATTTAGTCGTATTACTAGAAATAATTGTTTATCGTGCTTAATTTTGAATTCCTGGTCGTTTCAGATAATGTGGACAGCCCTTTCCTTAGCGCTTGGCCTAGAGATTCGCGGCGAGATAATCCGAGGAGTGCCCTGCATCAAAAGATACCACCAGCTTTTCTGTCCCACGGCAGGCAACAGCTATCCAATGTGAGCATTTTTTTTGTCCAATAGCTTTGCTGGTAGCCTTGAACGACGCACCCCTGGGTGTCTCTTCTATATGTGGTTAAATTTTCCTGGTCGACACGGTTCTTCCAAATCCACTTTCAAAAGAACCTCTCTTTTGTGACAAATAATCGAAGATGAATAAATTCAAGGCTTAATTATTGCTAAGTGTAGACGAAGGTTGAATTTTCGTGACGAGCTTTTCTCTTCTTCTTCAGTCCTCACATCCTAAAAAGTTCGATAACTCTGAAAGAATTCCTTAATGTGCCATTTGCGTCGCGGATGTTTCATAAATTAAGCACTTTTCCCGAGTCCACCCTAGCTCATGTTTTCCATTCGGGTGGAAACGAATGACGCGAGGGTGACGTCAAGATGAAGAGAACTTTGAATTCACAAACATCGCGGTGACTCCCTTTTTATTACCGAATCATGCATGGCAGCAAATTTATGTGTATTTTCAGAGACCATCCGTGTGAGTCAATCGCTTGTTTATCGCTTTATTCACTCAACGTAAGTACGGGTCGATCGAACGGGCACTTGTCTCTACTTGAGCAGTGTTTTTCTAGTTCCTGCTCTTGGGAATCCGGATACTCTTGCTGTCAACACAAATTAGTTGAGGCAAACTGATCGAGTTAGGAGCGAATTGCACGTTTTAATTGACGAGGAAAATGTTTATTTGATTCTACTGGGACGTCAATTAAAGTTTTTAAATAAAGAATTGCAGCTCTACTTCATGAGAAAAATGATAATTTGAAATTAGTTTATTTAAATAAAATTGCAGTCGTTTACTATAAATGTCTGCAATTTTATGTACTTTTGACTTGATATTATATTTAATAGTGATTTATATTTAATAATAAGCATAATATTTTTATAGAGGATGATAATTATTAAAATTAAGTAACAAGGATTAGTTAAATGAGGCCACTAAAAAACTGTTTTAATTTCAGAAGTTTTAAAATACTTATATAAAAAAAAATTAAAAATTATAATTTAGTTTAAAATATTTTTAATTTTCCTCAATTACACTAGCGATTTTGCATTGATTACACTAAAAATCTGCAAGTGACCATTCTATTCTTTCTTGGAAAATACAAAATTTATTACGGAATTGTAAACAAAAAGTGACAAGCGACAAATGTGATTAGTATGCGTGACGAGTTAAAAAGAGTTATCTCGTCCTTTTTAGTATTCGACGGTGATTCCATCAAGAGAGAAAATAATGCTGAAAATGGCAGTCGCAGAAACGAATTCGCATAATAATTTTCGCACCACGCCAATTTTCTAACTCATCAGTGGCACATTTAAATATCCAAGGTGCGCTCGTTCCCGCGTTAGTTTGGCAGCAAGTGTTATTTCAAAGGCGTGGTAGACCTTGATGGATCCACAAGGTTGGCCGGGTTGTCGCCCTGCCACTCTTCGTTCGCAGCCTCCACTTATTAAAATGGGCTCCTAATGGGCACTCGCGCGCCGCCAAGAAAAGAAAAAGAAGCAGAAATCATCTTTTAACAACCGCGCGCGGCACTATTGCATCAATTAAAGCACGCCTCCGATTTATTACGCGCGCGCCTTTCGTTTCGCACGACCATCAAATGAATAATCCTCTCGGTGCCATTTCCTTTAGCCCAGCCACTTGTGTGTGTACCTGCTGAAAGACGATTCTTTCACTTATACAAGCAGAATTAAATTTTCTCCGTATTTGCAATTTGAAAAATGCCACTGACATAATTTATTACGCTGAAACACGAGCGGCGGATAAAACCGGCCTCAAATAATTTTCGTGCGCGCAATTAATTTCCGCTGCCGCCGGTGTGTACGCAAAGGTCAGGGGTCGAGTGTTGTGGAAGGTTCACCTGCACTTTCTACACATTTATATTCTGCACACTTATTATTCACCTTTCCTCACATATAATATACTGCGGAGGATTATTTTTTAAGACAGAAGTTTTAGAGAATTCATTTTGTTTTGTCCAACAATTCAAATTCTTTCAAATAAATTGTTTTTCAATAAATGAACAATCTAAAAACTGAAAAAATAATCAACAATTGTAAAAAAGCATTAAGCAATAACTTTCTTGTTTTATTAGATTTTTCTTAAAACAAAGTTTTTACCGCGAAACTATTTCCACCATTTTTAAATAAAGAATTAAAATTTAACTTAATTTATATTCTTTATTAAACTAAAAATTTTTGTTTCTTATTTCAGTGATCGCATCGAGAGATTCATAGACGAAAACAAAGCGTTGATGAAACGAATGTACGGCGAGTTTCTAACAACGCCAGAGTATGGACCGCCGTCGCAACAAGGAGGTCCAGGACAAGAAATCTTCAAACCAAAAGGCCGCACCGTGAAACGAGAGGCGGCTGGTAAACCTGGCGGGGGCCTTCCACCCCCTTCGCCGGGCGACTCTTACTTCGCCGCGCAGGCGCGGCAGTCACGACAGTCCCAGCAGGGTACTTCTTCATCCGCCTCAGGGCCCAATGGCCCAGGACCATTTAGGACTAACCAGTCCAGCGAAAGTGGAAGGTGCGTTTAAAGTTTCTGACAACACTATTGTCCAACTTCTAAGGAAATGTGTTTAATTCTTCAAGTTAAATTCTAACAAAACATAATTTATTAAATCAAACTAAAGTAATCGGTAATTTAAAAAAGTATAGAGTAGAAAATTTCTTCAAAATTTACAATTTATTAATTGAATTTTGTTTGTATTTTCTTTTTATTTTGTTCATTGATTGATTTTTAAAATGTGTATTTTTTTATGTAAAATTGTAGGTTGGATTCCTGCGAGTCCAAAGTGGAAATTGTGACCCCCTACTGGGCCTCAAATAGTGCTGGAAAAATTAGAGCCATAGTCAACACACAGCATTTTGAGCAAGCCATCCACCAAGAAGTTTGCTCGTAAGCTTTGTCCGTTTTATAACAAAAAGAATGACCAACTGATCTTTATCGAATTTCAGAAAAGTGCAGACAAAACGCTGTCTCGGCGATTGTGGCTGCGAGCAGAAGTACAAGTGGCACCGTCTGCTGGCCTACGACCCTGACAACGACTGCAAGGGCATCTTCATGGACTGGTTCCTCTTCCCCTCTTGCTGCGTCTGCAGGTGTGCGCCCCTGGACGGCAAATAATTCATAAATTAAATGAGGACTGTGGACTGTTCCGGGCCGAGAGTAGAGACGAATTTGTGCAAACAGAGAGAAGCAAGATAGAGTCTAACTTGTGTCAGAATTTAAAGGAGGAATCGCAGCTGTGAAAAGTCTGTTTTATGACTCTGAAATAAGTGAAAATCTGTGTGCCTGAGTGCGGTTGATGATTGATGGTCGAGCACCATTAATTGATCCCGTGCAAATTGTAAATATTTATTTTAGACCTCATTTAAGGTGTTACTTTAAAAAACGCACATTAATTTACAAAATACATACTAGTTGCGCTTCAGATAGAACTTGAGACAATTTGTGTGATGCTTGAAAAAAAAGTATAATAATGTGAGATTTTTATAGCCTTATTTTGTCGTTTTGTAGTATTTTAGAAGATCATATACAGAACAGAGCAATATGTGGTGTAGTACTTTTTGTACAAAGAGCAACAAAATGAAGATGAGATTTTTGAAATGATGAATTCTAATTATATTGTTTCATTGCATAATACAAACCCAAAATGAAAAAATTAATTTTTGTATACATACTAAAATTTAAAAATGATTAATAACAGCAAAGTTTCATCTGAAACATGTCTTCGACATGGACTTAATTTAATTTTCTTTTCTAGCTTTTGATATGAATAATTAAAAAATCAACAAAATTTTATTTCTAAGGGGTGCATGCAAAGTTTCATTTGAAACGTGTCTTCGACATGGACTTATTTTAATTTTCTTTTCTAGCTTTTGGTATAAAACATTGAAAAATCATCAAATTTTTTTTTCTAAGGGGTGCATTGCTCAATTTAAAGTGAAGGTCTAATAAACGTGCAATTTTATTTTAATAGTTGTCCTTAAATTTGAAAATGTTTAATAACAGCAAAGTTTCATTTGAAACATGTCTTCGGCATGGACTTAATTTAATTTTCTTTTCTCGCTTTTGGTATAAAACATTGAAAAATCATCAAAATTTTATTTCTAAGGGGTGCATTGCTCAATTTATAGTGAAGGTCTAATAAACGTGCAAATTTATTTTAATAGTTGTCCTTAAATTTGAAAATTTTTAATAACAGCAAAGTTTCATTTGAAACGTGTCTTCGACATGGACTTATTTTAATTTTCTTTTCTAGCTTTTGGTATAAAACATTGAAAAATCATCAAAATTTTATTTCTAAGGGGTGCATTGCTCAATTTAAAGTGAAGGTCTAATAAACGTGCAATTTTATTTTAATAGTTGTCCTTAAATTTGAAAATGTTTAATAACAGCAAAGTTTCATTTGAAACATGTCTTCGGCATGGACTTAATTTAATTTTCTTTTCTCGTTTTTGGTGTAAATCATGATAAAAATCAACGTATTTTTAAGACTAGGGGGTTTGTTGCTCAATTTAATTATAGGTCTAATAAACGTTCAATTTTTATTTTCATAGTACAGATACAGACTGATAGTAGAAAAATTAACGAAAGGATTAATATTGTTGTTAGTTTACCAAACTAAATTAAAAAAAAATGAAAGTAAGAGAGGAAATTTTAAAAGAAGTTCATTTATTGGAGAAAATTAAAAAAAAAAAAATCGAAATTATCAAAAGTTTATCAAAAATTTAATAACTTTAAGTCGCACGTGCCCAGTGTTTTTACGCGGTGACCATGACGACGGTATGTAGGGGGAAGGAGTTACTCGCACCTGCCCTGCAAGCACGCCCTCACAAAGAGAGTCAACCCCAGTGCAAAACAAGTGGGGCGAGACTGAACAATGGTTAGCAGGCCACTCAACATTATCTTAATAACTTTTTTCACTGAAGATTGAAATTGTTTGATCATTTTCTATTTTTTGTAATTTTAAAGTAAAATGGATTGGGACTATTATATTGACATTAATTTTCCCGAGCTGAACAACGACAGTAAAGAAGAGTTGTGCTCGCAACTTTCAAAATGTCAGGTGGACGCAGAAGCGACGGACGAAGAGTTAAAAAAAGTTTTTGCGTTGGCGCAAAAATTACTCCAGTTCCGTGGAAATCAGGCAAGTCGGCAATTTTTTTTTGTACTGCGACTACGAAATATCAATTAATATAATCATTTGGCAGATTGAAGAAATTAAAAATGAACACGCAGCCACCATCGAAAAAATAAGGCAGGAATATGATGAGCTTGAAAATCAGGCGTCGTCAAGTAAAAGGGCCCGCAAAGGTTTGTCTGAGATGTTTTGGACAAATTATGTATTATATTGGTGTTTATAAAATTAAAGCAAGTGAGGCAAAGCAAGAAGCGGCCCGGTTGTCGAAGCAAAATAAAGAGCTTTTGGCCGAATTAGAGGTTTTGAGGAGGAGAAACAAAGGAAAGGACCCTATGATGGACACCGAGGTTTTTTTTCGTTTGCAAAAATATGAGAAAAATTTTAATGTGGTTTGGGAAAGGAGGACGAATATAGGGCAGAGAAGGAAAAGCAAAAAATGAAGAAAACTGTAGAGTTGCAAACAGAGCACATTGGCAGTTTGCTATCAGACTTGGAGGTAAAACTAATCAAACAATCGAATGATAATTAATTTCAAATTCCCATTGAACAAAAGAATACGGAGGCTGAGAACGCTAGTCTGAAGCAGCATTTGTCAAACCTGCGCGACAAGCTGGCTGAGGCGACAGAGGCTTTGGCTGAAACATCGGCAGATCTCACGAACAGCCAGAAAATCAATTTGGAATTAAAAAGTGATAATTATTTAGCAACAAAATAATGGTTTATTAAAAAAATATACAAAATATTTTAGATCGGTTTGGAGATTCAAAAGATGAGATCGAAAGCCTGCGAAGACAAATATCAGAATTGGTTGAGCAAAGAAGTCTGCTTGATTCACAACTGCTTCAGTTTCAGCATGCAATGGAAAGCAGGGTGGACACGTGGAAGGTAGTTCACAATCAAAAATATAAAAAAGTATGAATTCATCAGCATAATTTTAAAATTTTAGAATTTGATGGAAAAGAAGGATGGCGAAATCTCAGAGCTACGACAGCAAGTGCTCTTTTCCAGGCCAGAACAATATGCTCATTTGCAAGAAACAGTTTCTGCTCTCACTCAGGTGAAAATATTTTAAATTTTGTGATTTAATGTACTAAAATTGCAATTTCATCAAACAAGTCAATGGCTATAAGAGATCAGCAAGTGAACGAACTCAGCACGCGTCTTTCAGAAGCAACAAAGGATTTAGAAGAGAGCACCGAAGCCCTGGAAAAACTACGAAGCAACAAGTAATGTGAAAAAATTTGTTGACCACAATTATATTGAATTTTAATTTCAGGGGTGACGGCGAATCCAGAAAGCTGTGGCAACAACTGCAAAGGGCAGTCAAGCGAGAGAGAACGCTTGAAAGTAGAATTGAAGAGGCTGAGAGAGATGCCCTAATAAGAGGAGAACAGGTAAATTAAATTCGATAATCGTTGGAACAAATTAAAAAAATAATCATAACAAAGGTGACTGAGCTATCGACTCAGATACAAAAACTGGAGCAAGGAGAATTTGGCCTGCCAGAAGCTTTGGCCGAATCGCGGGAGATGAAAAGGAATTTGGCGGTCAGGGACGCGGAAATTGCGCGTCTGATAAAAACGACGAATCAGCTCCAAGCCAGTCTAGACGAGATTGCCGACCAAAATTTGGCACTCAGGTAGAATTATTTGAACATTTATTTAAGATTTAAATAATCGCTTAATCCAAAGAGAGCGATTTGGTATTGCCGACGAGGAGGTTGACATCAGTGGCGTGAGAGATAGAAGGGCCAGCGAACGGCAAAGAATAGAGTCTCTATTAAAACAAGTGGCGGGATTGGAGCAAGAGAAAGTTACACTCAAACTTCAAGTTGGTTTAATTGAAATATTTTATCCCATTTTTAATAAATATAATAAATCAGCTCCGCGAAGCTAGAAAGGGAAAAGGAGTTTTGGATCAAGACGATAAGCAATCGCTGCAGAGGGAAAGCGAGCAAATTGACTTTAAACTTATTGTTGAAGAAAACGAGAGTCTGCGAAAGGGGATGCACGAAATTCTGGAAAGCATCAGAAACCAAGATGGTTTGAGATGACTTAAAAATTCAGAAGTATTTATCTATTAATTAAATTTGAAATATAAGCCAACAGTGATGTGCATCTGGAATCAAACTGCCTAGAACGACTTTTAGAGGCCTTGGATTCTCGACATGTGGCCGGATGGTACCACCCTGCAATGAGGCTGCAGGCCCAGTTGCATAATGTCCAAGGCGTTGCTTCAGAACTGAGGGAGCAGTTAAGGATTTCTAGGTAAATATTTTAAAATACATTCCCATAAAATTTAAATAAACTTAATTAATTTAAAGGGAACAAGAGAATTTGTGGAAACAGCAAGTTGGCAGTCTATTGGAACAAAACATTGGGAGCGCTGCAACGTCCAATACGAATATAGGGCCATCAAATTTGAAAAGGACAAACTTTGATTTTCAGCCACAAAAAGTTATATAAAATTTTTAATAATCAACGTAGACTAATTATTTTTTTTATATTTTAGCAATTACATCAAGAATGGAAGTCTAAAATGCACACCTTGCAAGATGATCTGAAGGGATTGTTTAAAGAGGTGTCAAAAAGTTTGCCGCTAATCGCACATTCTAGGAAAGAACACGATGAGGAGTTGAGTGCAAAAATGAGCGATTTGGAGGGTTCTATTGAAGAGTACAAGCGGCACTTGGAGGAAGAAAATCATTCTGTCGCTGTTTGTGCTGCAAAATGTGCAACGCAAAGAATAGCTGAGAGATTTGCGCTGAGGCAAATAAAATATTTTGCTTCTATTTTCAGGAATTAAGAAAGGTTAAAATTTAATCTTGCAGAAAGTGTCACGGCCTGGAGGCTGCAAGAAAGAGGCTCAGTGAGGATTTGGAAAATAAATCTGTCGAAGCCATCAAATGTGAGGCAAAACTGGAGAAAGAAATTGCTAATTTAAGAGAAAATGAGGTTAATTTTTCTTTATTAATATTGCATTATTATTTTATTATTTGTATGAAGGTTTTGTTAAGAAATGAGAATAACAAATTGGCCGCTCTACTTGAAAGCTGTGTTCCTGCGGATGAGTTCAGATCAACACAACAAGAGTTGGCAAAGACGTCGGAAGCACTGAGAAAATGCTTGCTGGACACAATGAGAGGAGTAAGAAGACACAATTCTGGACAGATTTTAAAACTGATATCGCGCATTTTTAGACCGATGACAGCAAAGCTGAGCAAAACCATCTAGAAAAAATTGCACAGCTTGAAACGCAAGTTAAAAATCTCGTTCAAGAGTTAGAAAAAGACAAAGCTTGTCTCCACGTTCTGCAGGCGCAAGAGCAGTTTCCGGATGTTGATCAACAAGTAACAATAGTTATGGTTTTTTGATAAAAAATAATAATTTTAAATTTTAAAAATATTTTAAAAGGTACAAATACTGGCTCAAAAAATTAGTGCGCTGGAAGTTAATGAGGCGGTAATCGCGAAAAAAGCTGAGCATGCGGAAAAAATGTATCAACTTGCGAAAGGTAAAATATTAAATTAAAAAAAAAAAATGATAATAATAAAATTAAAAACAGCTCAAGTCATTGAATTGGAAAATGAAAAGAGGGAATTTGAACAGATGCTCTCTCAGCAATACTCAATCAAAGACTTGGAGTTGCCCATAATGCAGCAAAAGCAAAACGTTGAAATTCGTGTAGGTTTAAAAAGTGGCGAATTGTAAGAACAACTTCAAAATTAATAATTACAGGAGGACTTTGCTAAAATTGAAAAACTTGAGACGTCTCTTGTATCAGCGCAGAAACAAATTGAGTCCCTTCAGAACTTGCAGAACAACAGAAATTTTGAAATGGACGCTATGAGAGAACTAAACCAAGAGCTTCAAAGCTCTGGTGACTTGCAAGCGACGTTAGGTCGCATGACCGAAGATATTCTGGCTCTTCGACTGGAGTCAGAAAATTTAAAATTCAAATTGCAAGAGAGCGATAAAAAAGAGCTACAGCAACAGAGACGCAGTGTGGAATTGGACGTTGTTTTGAACAAACTGCAAAAAGAATTGATTGATCGCTCAGTAGAACTGCATAAAAGAGAACGGTTGGTCATTATCTCTGTTTTGTAAAAACTGAGTAAAAATTAATACTTGTTTGATACCTCTAGAAATCTGAAAGGCAAACTGGTGTCAATTTGCTCGCGGCATACTGCTTGTGTTCCGCTCTCTACGTTTGAGTTGGCAACAAGGTGGTTGAATGCAGCAAGGGAGGACGTGGAAAAATTACAAAATCAGCAAAATGAGCTGAACTCAAAACTCGACTGCATAGAACTTGAACGGGAAAAATTAAAGCTTGAATGTTCAGAAACTGAAAACAAAAATTCCCAGCCTGAGCAGCTGCAAGAATGGCATACAAGAAATGTTCATTTGCGGATAAAGGTGTGTATTAAAAATATTATTAAAAAGTCGAATTTATAATTATGTTTGGAAAGGAATTGGAGAGCTCAAGGAAAGCTGAAAAGTTGGAAAAGGAATGTGAGGAGTTGAAATGCCAAGTTCTGAACCTAAAAAATCACGCTCGATCTCTTGAGGACGAAAGGCTCGCTTTGGAAAAAAATTGGGAACAGCGACTAATGCTGTTGGAAGTGAGATTCTTAATTTCTCTTAAGATTGAATTAAAAATTTTTAATTCAATTTAGTATGAAAAATATGTTGACGGTGGAGGTGGATTTGTTAAGCCAGCAGAAGAAAAGTCCAAAGAACCTGATTTGGTGGTTGAGGAACTGGATGCTGCGCGGGAACAGTCAAAAGAAAAGCACCCAAATAAAAAGTTTATCAGAAGAGGAACTTTCACTTCGCTGAATGACAACGTGGATGTTTTGAAAAAAGAGCTGCAAATGAAAGAGGACAGAATTTCTCATTTGGAAAGAATGATGGATGGGCAACAAGGCGATTCTAGGGCTAAACTAGCCCTTGAGGTGATTAAAATATTGAAGTTTGAAACTCTAAAATAAATATTTTTATAGGCAATGGTGGCCAGTTTGTCCGAGCTTGTGTCCCTGAAGGAGGGAGCTGTTACTCGTGCACGGCAGCGTTTGAAAGAAGCCAACGATGACAATTCTGAGATGACCAGAGAACTTCGGCGACAACTTATTGAGCTGCAAAACTCTATGGCGAAGTAATAAAAAATGTATGCAACATTTGATATAATTAATTTTTTGCTAGGCTGCAAGGGAGTAGAGTAATGGAACAAGTCTCGCCTGAAATATCGCAAGGGCCAACAATCACCAAGCTGCTGACACAAGTTCACACTCTGGAGGACGAAATCAGAGTGTCCAACCACAGTGCCGCAACTTTAGCTGGACAATTGAGGTCTGTGAGCAGCGAAATGCAGCGGTGGAAGGATTTGGCCGAAGCAAGACAAACCAAACTGCAAGCAATTCAAGACAGGTGATTTAAAAAATTAAAATTGTAAGAAAACAAAATATCTTTTTCATTTTGTAACGGAAGGTATGAAGAGGAAGTGAGTCAAGCAATTGTCAGCAGATTATCAAGTAGCAGCAGAGTTGCTGAAAAGTCCGAGGTAATTATAGTGTGCTCTATTATTTATGAATTTTCATCATAAAAAATTAATTAAAGAAAAAAAAATTGAATAAATTTTATACTGTAGCCTGAATTACGCAACCTGCGAAACAACATCGTAGAGCAGGTTGCATAGCTAGGTATATTTAAAATGCAAGGTTGATAATTTTTTTTCATATACAGACAGAAATGTCAGAAAAAGAACTAACTTCGACGCGTACACACCCTGAGCTCCAAAGGTCACGTCAGGAAGTGGATAATTTGCGAGAAATGGTCGCTCAGATGCAGGAACAGATTAAAAAGCTGCAGTCTAAAGTTAGCAAATTACCAAAATTACATATTTACCCTTTAATAATTAAAAAAATTGGTAGGTCTCGGAAAGAAGACGGTCCCAAAGCTCACCACGGGAAAAAACATCAAAGATTTTGATCGAACCTGCTCAGAGGATAATTGAGAAACCACCTATGCAGCCCAGATTTGACAACTCGAAAGCGGCCGCTATTATTGGCAAGCTGCAAACGCAAGTCAAGCAGCTCCAGGAGGAAATTGACACATTTAAAACCAGAGAGCAGATTTATCTGGACCAGAGTAAAGCAAAAGTGCGTTTGAATGCATAGAATTATCATTTTTTAACAACAGCATTTTTATCATATTAAATTTAGACCAGTGAAGTTGTATCAAGGTGGGAGGAAAGGAAAAATCTGCAGGCAAAATGTGACAAGTTAAAACAAAAATTAGACGAATCAGAGGCGACAGCTAAAAAACTTAAAGAGAGCAACCAGGCGTTGAGAGCTTTGATCGAGCGTTTGGAACGCGAGAAGATTTTACTGGATCAGCAATTAAGGAGAAAATCCAAGGCAGTCAACATAATAGCTCAGTTAAAAAAAAATATAATAAAATTAAGTAAAAATTGAAAAAAATCTCAATCTTCAAACAGGCCGGCTCCCATTGAGGCGCAAATGAGCAAAATGAGGATGAAATTGGCCTCAAGTGAAGAAGAGTGCGCCTCTCTGCGACGGCAGTTGGAGCACCACAAAAGGGTATCTGAAGACGTCCCTCGGTTGAGGGCGGAACTGGCCACTTTGAGAGGGAAGTACGAGACCCAAAGAGAGGCGGCAGTACAGATGCAAAGCAAAATCGCACGTCTCGAAGCTGCAAATTTGGAACTGAATCTCAAAATAGACGATCTGGTCACTTCTGATGGAAATGGTTATGTATGCAGTTCAAACTTGTTGTAGCATATTAATTAAATTATAATTAATTAGAGAGGAGATAGCAGTGACGATGGCGGTATGTCCAAAGAGGAGCTTCAAAGATCGGTTTTGATGCTTGGACAGCACGTCCGGAAATTGCAAGAGAAACTCAGGGATGCGCGAGATGTAAATTTATTTAATTTTATAGCTGATAATATTCTATTAGAGCAAATTTTCAGAATGGCTCTGCGGAATCTGCAAGTGCAGAAACCAGTCAGAAACTGCAATCAGCATTGAGAAGGAAGCTTTCGTTAGAAAATGAAGTTTGTAAGTAAAAATTAAAAAACAAAAACAAATCTTTAAATATTTTAAAACAGCTCAATTAAAAAGGGAGCGATCAGAATTGTGTTCTCAGCTGAACCAGAAAGTAAAAATTTTGGTAGAGGTGCGAGCTGCTTTGCAAGAAGCGTCTTTAAGGGAGGCAGCACTCAAGTCAGAGGTAACTTAATATTGCTTCCTGCATGTAAGGGATAAAATTAAATTTGCGTTTAACTTTATAGGTGGCACACTTTCGGCGGTCACCCCAAAAATAAAAAATAAATCAAACGTTGTATTATGTATTTTCATACTTAAGTGAATAAACTCAAAAAATTCAGTTTACACAAAATTTTGATATTGTTTGAATTTGTGATTTTAAGATGCACATAATTTTTTTTTTACCACTTTGAAAATGAAATTTTACAGTAACATTTCCATTTTGTGCTATGTTTCAAGTAAATTTTTTTCCATTATTCTTCTTTGTTTCCGTTTATTATTTTCTACTTTTCCTGTTACAATTAGTAATTATATTTTCCTGTACATGTACTGATAAAGAAAGATAAATAGTTTAAACCACACGTCAGACTCAATAATTAAAAACTCTTTAAAATAAGCACACTCAAATAATCTATCTCACAAATAAATCCTTCTTTCTCTTGACGGGTGCAATCGCAACAAATTTGATAGGCTTGAATGTGAAGTCCATTGTCAGTCATTTATAATCATTAGCTGAAAATCCCAGGAAATGTCACACTGCTTTCTGCGATCCTCCCACTGCTATCGCAGCACACGACATTGGCCACCAAGAAAATGACAACTTGCAGGAAAGTGAATAAAAATTTAAAAGAACTCATTAGGCCGGTATCGCGGCTCTCGTCCTTGACAGCACCCTCGTTGGCGCTTTTAATTTTTCTTCCTGCGCGCGATAAATGAGGCGCCCCCGCACCTTCCGCACTCAGTCATGTTCCGTCTCCTGGTGCTGGTGGTGGCCGCCTGCGTGGCCGTTTGCACGGCCGCCCCGCTCGAGAAGTGGAGCACTTACAAAAACGCGCCCGACCTCAAACCGCAACTCGGCGCTCTCGCCGAAAGGATGTACGGCCGCCCTGACAACTCCACGGGCGAAAGGGTGGCAAAGTACGACCCGAAAACCGACACCATCAATCCAGAGGAGTTGGGCAGTTACGCGGCTGGTGACATTCTGGTGCCAGGAATGTTGGGCAGAAATGGTTTGGTTGCGACCTCGTCGCGATGGTCAAGAGGTCGGATACCCTTCATGATTTCAACTGACATTGGTAAAGAATTATAGTGTTAATTCTTTAAAAAAAAATTTAAAAAATAGCACGTTAAAAGTTTAAACTTGGATTTTAGCAAAATTAGATTAATTTCATTTTCGTATGAAAATTTTATTTAGAAAGTTGAATTCAAATAATATGAACTTTCATTGAAATTAACTGAAATTGACTTGTATTGTTTAATTGTATTTTGTTTAGACCAATATTTTTAAAATATGTGATTAAAAACATTAAATAATTAAATTTTCAATTCACATCTTACAAATTGCATTATGTAAGAAAAAAATACATAATTTAGAACGTAAACACCATGTTATAAAAATATCACTTATATCAGCATATTAAAAGATTTAAAATCTAGACTAATAATTTTTCTTTTTCAGAAAATAACCTACTTCAATCTTACTTTTAAACTTTTTATTTTCAACAGCATAAATTTCAACCGTGCTAGAGAACAAAGTAAAAAAAAATTATTTAATCAGAATTTTAATGCCAATTTTAATTTCAACTCTTAATTAAAAATCAATTCTCTGCCAACATACAAAAAATTTCTCCTAATTTCAGAAAAATCAACACGAAATATAAATTTTACCATCCAAATTAATAAATTTAATTTAATTTAAATAATTTCTGAATTTCCAGCGCCACAATATGTGGATATTATTTACCAGGCGATGAACGTCTACCACGAATTGACTTGCGTGCGATTCGTTCCCTGGAACGGTCGCGACTCTGACTACGTGACCATCGAGAGTTCCAGCAGCGGGTGCTGGGCCTCGGTGGGTCGCATCGGCGGTCGGCAGTCGGTGAACCTGCAGGCGCCGGCGTGCCTCGCCAAAGTGGGCACCGTGTTGCACGAGCTGATGCACACGGTCGGATTCTTGCACGAGCAGAACCGAGCCGAGAGGGACCAGTACGTTGACATCCTGTGGGAAAACGTGGAAAAGGGCCGCGAAGAGAATTTCAAGAAGATCTCCGCCTCGATTGCGTTTTCGCAGATTCCTTACGACTACGAGAGCGTCATGCACTACTCGACGGCGGCGTTCAGCTCCAATGGGAAACCAACCCTCCGGACAAAGGTTATGCTTATTTATTCGATTAATTGATTAAAAAAAAATCAAGCTGATTGAAAAAAAAAACAATCAATTACCACCGAAAAAAAAATTTCTTTATCATTTTACAATTTTGTTTGTCTAAGAATGATTTATTTGAGAATTTAATATTGCTGATAATGTTAATATGTGTTATTGTTTAAAACCCCAAATGATAATTTTCACTTATCAATTCATGATCATTACAGGCTTCTGGGGTTCGAGTTGGGCAGCGAGAGCGAATGAGTGTCGGCGATATTCACAAAATAAATATGATGTACAAATGCGACGGACCCTATTCATATGTTCAATAAAAAAATTGTTCAATTTATGTTTGAGTTACAAAAGAAAATTGATGCATTAAAGTTTGCTTTTTCTTCTCCCCTTCCCTGTGAGGAAAATGCTGGGAAACACCACAAAATGTGATAAAAAAATAATATATTATGCAAAAGGCACAAGGTTGACAGCATGCGTGATAATTACCCTTGGTTTTAGCGCATTTTTGGAAAATACACGTGCGACTGTAGAACTCTAACCTTCAAAAGTCTTAATCTTATCAAAAATAAACAGGAAGTAGAAACAAGAAAATTAATGACGCTGAAATTTACGTTTGTACAATTTTTCCTTTTATCTTTAATTTTTATAAAGAAACTAATTACGTTTTTTTTTTAATTGGGAAACAATTTTACTGTTTCTACCAGTAAAAAAATAAGGATGTTTGAAAGTTGGGCAGTGAAAATGGAAGAAAACTTCATCGGGTTCCATTGAATGCTTTTGTCCTATGGGCTGAAGCATGTTGTTCCACATGGCATTCGCCGCTGCAAATATATTTTAATAGATTTTGTTTAATTTTAAAATGATTTGCGTTCAAACTTATTGCATATCCGAATTGGTTATAATGGAAGCAGTCAGGGGAGGTGAACTTCATAATATCAAGCGGTTGGAAGTTGTTGGCTGGAGTGGCCACGAATCTGAAAATTGAATTCACCAGGTACGGCTGCGTGACGGCGGCAAAAGTTTCATATTTCCAGCTGTAGCCGCCGTCGTGCACCTGACAAATTTTCCATTTGAAATTTACGTTTAGCCAATGCTTTATGAAAATAGTTAAGTTTTTACCGCATCAATTGTGGCCTGTTGGAGCCTGTCAGAGATGCTGATGTAAAATTCTCGATTTGCCCTGTATTTTGGGCCGAAAATGCATGAGCAAAAAATCGTGTGGGTCAAGTAGCAGGAATTTGGGAATCGGACGCTTGGAAGATAGGCCACTTCTGTGTCATAAAAAATTTCAAAGAATTTGCAAAACACACCGAATTCAGAATGTAAACAAACAAGTGAACACATTTTCCAGAATATTTTGATCCATTTCATTTAGGCAAGCAATGTTGGAAAATTCAACATGTGTTTACGAATTCTTAACTAAATAAATATGTATTGTACTCACTGGAGGTTGGTACGACGTTGACAAAAGTTCGCGGCAGGTTGTCTCTGAGGTAGTCCAGGGCATCCCTGATGCTCCAGTAGTGGACGTCCACGATGATGTTAGGGTTCTTCAGGTAACACATTTCCGAGCAAATGTCATTGTTGCCAACCATGAGCGTCACGAGCTGAGGTTGTTTGTTGCGAAATAAAATCAGCAATCGGCACAAAATCATCACAAAGACCAAACCTTCCAGTCGCGATAAAAATCAACACTGTCGGATCCTCTGATTCGCTCCACGAGGACCTTGGCCTGGTACAACATGTGGCGGGAGAGGGCGCCTGCCTCTGCAACGTTGAAGGCCGCACCCCCTACCCTGCCATCAACACTGGTTGTTGTTCTGACTGAATAGCCAACGAGGTGCGGATTGTAGATTCGCAGGATGTTAGGCACAGTCAAAGTGTCCCGCCAGGTGCCAAAGCCACCTGAAAATTAAGGAGATTTGCTGGAATTTCAATGGACGTCTTGGTGAGTGAGAAAAGAAAACGGAGAGAAAACCTCTTAGAATTTTACAAAAATAATATATTAATTTAAAATTGATTTACTCTTGTTCATTTTTGATATGATCAGATGCTTCGTCACAAATGAAAAATTGAGGTTAAAATAAGGGAGGATTTTTTAGCGTAAAATTGTGCGCATAAAAAAAATTGATGATCAAAATTTTTATTTAATTTAAAAAATTGGAAAAATTGCACCCGGAATTAATAAATTATCTTGATTAAAAGAAATACATTAAATAGCTGAATAATTTAAAGAATGTGGTAGGAAAAACTATTAGATTGATTTTGAAAACTCGCAATTGCTATTAAATTTTAATTTTACCAACGCTCCACGAGAACCCCCTATTCTCGATCAACGTATCAAACATTGAAATTGCCGTGGCGCCCGTTCCAGAGGTCAAACTGTCCCCCATGGCAGCTACAACCTGAATATCTCCCGGCATCAATTTGTGGACACTTGTTGGTCGAATCGGAGATTTGAACCAAGATGTATTTTTGCAAGGAAATGGTTTTGAGTAAAACGGTTGCACCTTCTGAAATTCATCAACAAATTTGATTAAATTTTAATTATTGGTCTTTACCCCGATTTTGTGTTCTCACTCCTCGTGCCCTGGCCTTCGTTAACCTTCGAATGTCACTGCTGACGTCGGTTCCAATGACCGTCTCATAGTACGCTTGCTTTAGCTGTCCCTCTGATTCCGTTTCGAGTATTTGCTTGTGATCTACTAAGGGGTGAGCTTTGAGGTAAGGGTTTATAAGGCAAAAGATCGGCAATGGTGCCACAGCCAGCGCAAATAATAGGAAACGGGTAGCGCTTACATTTATCAAAGCCATTGTAATGATAGTGTAAGGTTTATCGTCACTGAACTCAATTAGAAATGCACATACCACGCCACTTTTACTTTTTACCCATTTATTTTTAACGCTCAATTTATCACCTGAGGGAGAATTCGTGGAGTTAAATAAATTTCCAAAAAGTGTAAAATTAACTCTTTAAACTGTTTAGGTGTTTCAGTTAAATGTTTTATAAATTTGTATTTTTCTAATATGTGTTTATTTTTTACAAAATTAAGCTATACATTTAAAACTATTTTGAGACATTTTTTGTGAGATTCTAAATTGTTTTTTTTTTTTTAATACCCATTTTAAATTAAACCAAACAGTGATATTTTCAATTTTTAACTCTACTTCTATTATACCTAATACTGTTTGAGTTAAAACTTGTGTAAAAATATGGCCACGATTCGGTTGGACACTTGAAATTTACGAGTGGCTCTGCCCAGTCCATTGACTTCTCGCCAACTGGCTCTAGCATGTTGTTCCACAAAGCGTTTGCAGCTGAAAAAATTTAACATGCATTTATTCAAATTAATTTAAAAAAAAATATTTTGTTTTTACCTCTCGCATATCCATATTGGCTCAAGTGGAAACAATCAGGCGACAAAAGGGTTGTGTCTGTCATTGGGTTGCCGTAAGTATTCATGTAGGAAGGGAAAAAGAGGTTTGCGGTGAACGGCTGCGAAACAACAGCAAAAGTTTCTAGGTTGTTGTACCTGGCCTCCTCTACCTATAAAATTAAATTTAAATTCTCTGAGTGATTTCAAATAATCTACTACTAATACTAACCACTTGGAAGGTGATGTTTTGCAGAGCATACACAATGTCGGAGTAAAGTATTTTTTTCCTGTCAAATCGCGGTCCAAAGAGACAAGGGCAGAATATTCTGTGCGGTGCATAACAGGACAGCGGCAAATTCATTTTGTGCAGCAACTTGTCGATGCCTAATTTAAAAAAAAAAAAAAAAAAAAACATTAATTATCGCTTCTAAAAGAGAAATATTATTGTATTACGTCCTAAAGGCACCAAATTAATGAGAGTTCTGGGCAGGTTGTCTCTGAGGTAATCTAGCGAGTCAATCAAATTTTTCTTGAACTGAGCGATAATAGCCAGGGGCTCATCAGTGTAGCACATATTCAGGCAAATGTCATTGTTGCCAATTAAAATAGTCACAAGCTACAAAAATCCATATTTTTAATTAAATTTAACTATGAAAGCAACCCTTGCCAAAATTTAGATATTTGCCTTCCAATCTTTTTCAAAGTTGACTTTTGGGTGCGACTTGATTCTCTTGACTAGCGCCTTGGACATGAATCCGAGTTCATTGGAAGTTGCGCCTCCCTCGGCCACATTAAAGCCGGCCGCGTACGCGTGAGCTGGCCCATCGCCAGTTGAGTATCCAACTAACGCTGGGTTGAACTGGCGCAGAATGTTGGGCAGCGTCAAGACATTTCTCCAAGTGCCGTCACCACCTGCGGAAAATTGATTATTTGGTGTCAACGTCCTAAGAGAAAAATAATTCAAACATCTATGACAAAACTAATTTATTTATTATTTCGCAAGGATATCTTGTTTGATGGATTCTTATTGCAAAATTGAAAAAAAATTAAATACTGTGAAAAAATTAATTACAAGAAAATAAACACATATAATACAATTTAAAAAGTGAGTCATCCTAATTTTTAATGCTTATATTGGAGACATTGGAGTGGACGAACTACCGTCTGTTGTACAAAAAGGAAATAATTGGGAAGAGGGTAGCGTTGCAAATATTAGTAGAATATCATGCTTTTTAAATTCAGAAATGTTTGTTGGTTTATCACCAGGAAATCACTCTGTTCAAATACTTTGATAAATTTAAAAAAAAAAAAAAATACACGAGTATCAAATAACAAGAGAGGAAAACAAATATAATCATTTAAAATAGCCTTCATTGTGTGTCATTTGTCATTTAATAAACTAAAAAGTAGTGAATAAGAGCACAGCTTCACAAGCAGTAGTTTGTAAAAATGCCCCTCTAAAAACTAAAACCGGCGCCGACATTTATGTGTAGTGCAAATATACCCTTTACGAGTTACGTTGGTAAAGACCTTGACATGCTCATAGGCTTCAAGAAATTATAAAAAAATTTTATTTAAATATTTACGCCATCAAGATTTAAAGGAAGAAATGCAAGTATTTTGATCTATACTTCTTGTAATGTTGTTAATTTAAATCCAAGGCCTTCAAAATATAGTAAGGGAGTAACTGTTGCCTTGCTTGGTCCAATTTTACTCTGCAATTTTCATTTTCAAACAGCCAATTATAATAAAATTCCATTGTGCAAAGAGCGTCAGTGTATATAAGTGACAGTGCTAGACTCTGATTATGTTGGCGCACCTATTTAAAAACTAATAGCGAAGGAGGGCCGTAACAATAATTCAAGGTGTCGTTAGTGACAATGCCATTTTTTTGGCAAGTGTAAATGTTTGCAGGCGCTCTTTGGTATTGTAAATAGAATTAACACTTCAAATAACTTTTTGACTGAACCATCTAAATCAGCAGTGCGTTGAACCGAAAGTGTCATAAATAATTTGCAAATCATCCGCCCTTGATCGGGAGCCCAATTAGTAAAATTCATCCGGGACCAATTTAAACAAATTATAAAAAAACCTTGAAGGCTTGCGACGCGTTTAAAAACAAGTTAATTTGCGTTTTAGCAGTCTATGAAAATACAGGAGATCTCACAATAACGAGATTATTTTTTTACCTATGCTCCAGACGAGTCCTCTATTTTCAATGGGCACTTGCCACTGGATCGTGGCCGAAGCTCCAAATCCTGCCGTCAAACTGTCGCCCATGGCCGCTATCACGTCGATGTCACCGGGCATTAATTGGTGGACACTTATGGGCTTTGACGCAGATCGGTATTTTGCAGTTTCATTGCAAGGAAACGGCCCATTGCTGTAGAGAGGCTGCATTTTCTAATATAAAAAATAAATAAAATTAATAGTTTAATTAATTCAATAATAACTTTTGCACGCTATATGTGGATTGGGGAAACATTTTTCTGTAATGTGCAGAGTGCACAAGCTAGATAAAGCCTCAAGAAATTGTGTTCTTAAGTTTTTTCTTAAAATTTTGAAACTATAAAAAATAACAAACTATATTTTGTAAAAGGCATTTCCAATTCTTCAATTAATATTTCTCATTTTAGCAAAGGCGCCAAAAACCTATATTCTAGAATGAAAAATAGTTGCTTAAGTGGGATCAACAACTTATTAATAGTGAATAACAAGTACATGTAATTATAAAAAGAATGAATCTTAATATCTAATCGTATCTAATAATAAAAACAAGAAAATTGCGTTTACCATGACTTTTTTGGCCGCCAGTCTTCTTGCCTGAACCCTTTCATTGGTCCCGAGAAATCTATATAAAAAGTCCTTGATGCCCATCTCCACTCGCATGGTGAAAGAATTTGGAAAAGTTATCGTAGCTCCATTTTCCAACACTCGCGAAAAACAAACGAGAAGGGCGAGCAAAAGCGCACCGGGCAGTCGCATGTTGATCTCGAGACTGACTAAGTAAATGCCCCCGCGGCTTCTTCGTGGAGATGCCGGCTTAGGATAGTCCCGCGTGTGTGTTTTCAATGTCAAGTTCAGGCATGTAGGAAGAATTAAAACACGTTTGGGTATCAGGTATGTTAATAAACGCTGCAAGGGGAAGGAGTGGGTTCAGCTTAAATGCGTAAAATTCAAGGGTGGCATCATCGATAAAAGCGCAGCCAAGAAAAAAACAAACTAACAACGAGCGTTACGACGCAGTGGATTTTAAGATACAGTCCGGACTAGCGTGAGTGCATTTTAATTTTGGGTTGGGAATTCCACATAAAAACAGGTCTTTCAGCATAGTTATTAGAAGTCAGGCGTCTGAACCTGACTGTTCCAACTGCCAATAAAAATGACTTTGTGTTTAAGTGCCACACGGCCGCTCCCTGCGATTGTTTCCCGCCTTGTGCGAATAATCTGCACCATAAATTTTGATCTTTTCATTTCCTCCTCTTTGTATTTAATTTTTCATCCTGGTACATAAGTCTCAATGACGCTTCCGCGTAGCTTCGACATTTTTTTTCTTGTTTGGCATAAAACGACAAAAGTTTTTTTATAATTTTAGTTTGTCTTGCAGATAAATGATTTATTATTTAATATCAGTTACACTCTTTAACTAAATAATACACCCCATATTTTTAATTTCTTTTTCTTTTTTAAATTGGAATGAAAATATTTATTTTAATAAAAAATTGTTTATATTATAATGATAAAATTTGATATTTTTAAGTGAAAATCATCATTTTCGTTTGATATAAAAAATAAACGGATTTAACAGTTTAATATTAAAATATAGCAACAAATATTTTATTGTAAATAACATTTTAACATAAATATTATTGAACCAAAAATGAGAAGATAGCATCAGAAAAATAAAATATTTTTAAGCTATAGAATCATAGATGCAAAAGCGCAAAGCTCACAGTAAGGCCCATAAGCATATACCTTTGTATATTATAACTTTGTACTTGCGTTTCCGTTTTTTCTCTCTATACTTTTTATATTTAAGTTGGCTTTGGGCCTTATAGCGCAATATGTTGTTATATAACTAATATTTTACGCGTTAATATATCTTATGATTCTTATGTTATCAAGATGCATCAAGTTACATTGAAATAATTAATTGCAACTTACATCAGTTGCATCATTATATAGCATCAAGAATAAAAATGTCAATTACTATTATACACAATAAAAAACCGGCTCAGCTGTGCTCCCCCTGTTTGTAATTCAGTTTCATGCCCATATTCAACTAACATTTGATACAGAAATTATATCCAAAGTCCCAAGGCGTATTTTTCTCTATGATGGTTTCCTGGAATAAGAAATACATAATACGCCTATGCAAGGTGCGCAATGATCTAGATTTTTTCATAATTTTAATTGCCATTATGATATATACGCAATAAAAAATTACTTTATGACATCAAGGCATCTCCCATCTTGTAACTTATAACGCATATAAAAACAACAAAAATAAATCAGAAGTATAATTAGTTGTTGATTGTTGCAGCTGCTGAGTATAGACAGAATTTATAGGATTTTTTAATTGCACGGTGAGATATTATTATGCAAGAAATTATTATTTTTTATTTCAAATTATCTCTGAACCATGAAATTTGCAAATTTTAGTGTGCATTTTAATTGCACTTAATCTAAATTTGCGAATATTTAGTTTCCCTTTGAAAAAAAAACTAGCATAAAATTACCAATGCAAACCCCAAGCTCTACCTCTACACGCACACAAAAATACATTAACACACACCTTCAAACTTACAATAAAATCAGCACTTATAAAAAAACGCAGGCTAGTTGTATAGTTGCACAAGTTATGATAGCTTTATCATGTTATAATTCTAAATATATCCGTATTATACTGTGCTTGAAACGAGACACTCGTAATTCGATCATTATATAATGTAGTAGTAGTATAATAAATTCACGATATAATTTAATTATTAATAATAAAATAATCACGGACAACTTTTTAACTTCGTATAATAATTAATTAAAAATTACTCATCAGTATCTTCTGTAACTTGCCAGTGAATTATTTTGTACGCTAGCAAAGTCAAAGTGTGCAGCGAGCTCCTGAATCCACGCGGGTGACGCGGTCTTTGATGCAAAATTTATTACGTTGGTACTTCCTACTGCTAAATGCTTGGCTAAAAAATGTAAACAAGGCTGCCGCATTCAAGAGTGAAGAGAAGACAGCACACGTGTTTTTCATTCTATTCTATCATAATCAACCAGACTTTCGTTTTAACAATTGATGAATGTCGTAATTACTTGCCAAGCAATAATTTACCAGGAAAGTGGTCTGCATGCCTGCGATACTTGAGAACAACAGTGAAAGCAAAACCAATCGGTATGAATCAAAAGGATCACAAAATTTCCACAATTTTCTGATTGGAATTCCAGCATGGCTCAATTAGCTCAATGATTTTTACATGTGTTATTATAATTGAAGGTTGAGCACCAAAATGAAAAGGAAAAAGGAATTGTCGCCCCAGAAAATGGAAGTTGACGAAAAGAATGGGAAGGTGAAAAGAAAACGGAAAATCGAGGAAGTTTCAGCGATGGACGAGGAAAACAAAGGCGACAGGTAAAATTATTTTCTCTCCCCTTCTATTTTTATGATTTTTGAGTAATAAGTGTGTATTATTATTGTTGTTTAATTATCTATATATTATTGCTATATATGACACATATATTTATATTCTAATTCTAAATGTTATTGAAAAACAAATTCTTTGAAACATTTTGATAAAAGGGAATTGTTGGCACCACCACTAGCAAATAATTTGCGAAAATTTCCGAGATCATCTGCCATCACTGTAGATAACAAATAACAAGGTATTTTTTTTTTAGATCCAGTGAAAGTGAGTTATCAGATGGATCTAATGGAGATGAGTTTGAAGAATCAGTTAGAGCACCAGAGCCTTTCAATAAAACTAGAGTTGTCAAGTTCGATGCTAACTTTTTTCGAAGGAAAATCTTTTCAAGGGAAGGAGGCACAGGTATGTTTGAAAAATCCTTGATATAATTTTTTATCTAACTTATAATTTTCCAACATTAATTGTTTTTCACAGAACTGAAACTCTTTGCCAAACTGTTGAATGAAAAAGAAGAAAATGATGGTGATGATTATATCAAGGAGTATATTGATGCAGGTGGCAGCGCTCGAGAAATTCTTGAAGCACTTTCACAATTCAGACATGCAGAACCAGGAAGCGCAATGGCGGCATTGAAAATCCTGACTATTTTGTTTCTGAAGTAATTTATTACCTCTAGTCAAGAATTGCAAAATACTTAACGATTGTATCATAGGACATTACGAGAATATCCGGAAAAGCAAGTTGAAGCCGAAGAAGTAGCACTTCAACTGATTCAAACTGCTGCCCCATTTTTGAACTCTCTGCTCATTAGCAAACATAGACCTCCAAACGTTGTGACTGGACTTAAACTTCTGACAGGTATTGTAAAATACTATATTATTTTTAAGAACCGAGTTCTCATGCTTAATTGTGCAGCCATGGTGAGTTTGTCACCAAAAGTTGGAAAGGAAGTTCTGCGAGTGATATCTTTGGGCAAAGACGAGATCTGGTTTTTGACTAGCCACGGCAACAAACCCAACGAGAGAGGCAATGTCCATATTCGCAAAAACTATCTCTTTTTCCTGATGGCATTTTTGATCGACAAGGATTCAAACATTATCCAACTTCTCATGGCTAAAGAAAGTAAGTCGATAATTCACCATCAAGGCTGTAGTTACTAGTTTAATAAAAAAATCTTTCTAGATGTTGTTGGATCTGCCCTTCTTGGTTTAATGCACGACGCTGCTCCGATTGTTAACCTCATCTTAACAACTCTGCGATCCAATGTTATTGAAAACTTAAACGTTGTTAAAAGGCTGAAGCAATCTGCATTCAACACAAGAGTTTTGGAAGCATTGGTCACGCTGTACGAGTGGCAAGGCCAAAGCAAGCTTAACAGATATAGAAAGAAGAAGAAAATAGAGACAGTAAAATAACGCCACAGAACTAAAGTCCAGATTTTCAAATACTGTTTCCAGGCTTCTGAAGAAGAACTTCATTTGGTTCAAGAAAGTATTCATGCTTTTCTGAAAACTCTGCTTACGTCCTACAAGTATGGAGTCGTTTTCCAGACCACTACGACAGAAGTCGCAAAGAACCATAATCAGCAGGCATTTTCTGTTTTGAGAGTAATTACCTTCATTTTCCTTTAATGTTTAATGTGAAATAATTTTTGTCAAGAAATTGCAAAGACCTTGGGACTGTCCGCTCAGAGGCGATCTCCTGATCAGTGTGCTCAAGGCTTGCCCAACATTGTTGAAGCCCACTTTGGCCATTTACACTGAGGCTCTAACCCCTCGACCAACTTTGACATGGGTGAAGTCTCTCGAATTTTTCATCAAAGTAAGTTTGCATATATATTGCGACCATTTTCTTAAATATGTGTACCTTAGGTCCTGGAATCTGTTGACATGGGATCATTTACGATTCATGAACCTGATAGACCAAACCCTAAAATGCTGACCAACATGATTTGCTGCATAGCTTTACCAGTCTCTCTTCTGAGCGCCGTTCTAACACCTGGTCTCTCGAATTCCCACGCTGCAGTCAAAGAGGCTACTTGCCGACTGCTGTCCTGCGTCTTTTCTCGTCTCAGCCTCCATCTAAGAAGGTGCCAAGAACTTTTCCATCTTCATGAAAACTTTTGTGACTCTGTGAGGAGCCAAATACAACACCAACTATCAAACATTCTTCCTCATGTATCACTAATTTGGGAAGCATGGAATTTAGTCGTTGATGATGCTGAGGAGCTAGAAGATAAAAGTCTGACGACCAAATCGACCAAGAAACTTAACATTCCTACTTTGGATGCATCGATTGTGAGACGAATTATTATTATTGTTTATTCTTCACAAATCAAAGTCAAATGAGAAAAAATTACAATGAGATAAACATAACTAAATTAAAAATTTAATATAATTCCTATTATTTAGCTTCCTGGAGTGACTTTACCAGCTGGGCCCCAGTCTTTGAGAGTGCCAACAAAATCTGACCAATTAGCTACTTACTTGTCAGCTCTCTTGGGCTACCAAGATTGGCTACCTCACTGGTTAGAAATGAGCTGGGGTGGTAAAAGTTCCACTAAAATCCTTTCATCGATCAAAAGCGCCGTTGACCTTCTAGAAGGCAAAGACAATAATGACCTTAAGATGAAAGCGGTCAGCCTTCTGACCAACTTGGACCAAATGACAATTTCTCCAAATCAGGTAACTGTTTCGGTTCATGGTACTTATTTTTTTACTTTCAATTTTTGATTTCAGACAATTTTCTCCTGGGCCATAGAAATTCTTGTTAATGGAAGCTACAAAAATCCAGAAGCATGCAGCACTCTATTAAAAATTCTTCAGCAAATTGGAGTGCTCTTAGAGAATGATGATGAACTGGAAGTATGGATTTTGAGCACAAGCGGAAGAGAGGATTGCAAAACAGTTCTTTCAAGTGCGATTGTCCTTTTGTCTAAAAATTTGGTTGATTTCACTGAAAAGCAATATGAGTTGATTAGTCGTGGCGAAGTCAGCTCTACAAAATCACACATTGACCAGCTCGATGATATGCTTGAAGGTAAAATGTGTTAGCAATAAAAAGAAATGAAATTTATTTTGTTTACAATAGAGTTGCAGCAGGAAGACAACAAAATAAGCGGCACCGCGTACACGGGCCCATATCAAGACGTTGCTTTTAGTCCACTGCTGGTGGTTCTGCTGCAGCTGGCCAAGGAAAAGTCGTTTGCACAAAAGCTGCCAGCTTTGCAACACATGGTCCAGGGAGCAACTATCCAACTTCTACTCCAACAACCATCTCCACACTACTTGATCAATGTAATCAAGTCAAATATCAAGCAGTATCCTGCAGAATTTTCAGCACTGATTCAGGTAAATTTTTGAAGGAAAATTTTAAAATCACTACAGCGTTTGAATGAAATTAGGATTGCTCTTCCTTTCCAATGGACTTCTTGAGTTCCACAGAGAGAAAATTCTTCTCTTACCTGAATGGAGAAAACTCGAAGCTTCCAAAGTCATTGGAGCTACCAGAAAGTCAACTGAAACAACTGTGCAGACTAGTTGTGTACAATGCTGCGCGGAAAGTGGACTCCGGGAAATTTGATGAATCAGCGCTGAAAACGCATTGGAAGGCATTGGAGAAGATTCTGGTAAATAACGATATACAGTTTTTTTTTCATTCAATTTAATGGTTTTATTTTAGAACAAAATGACTTCAAGTAGCCAGGTTAGGTGCTTGGAACTTGTCATTTGCCATCCTGTTATGCTCGACAATTTTTCACTTCACGAGAAATCTCCGTCCAGTTTAATAGCAAGCTATTTCCTGCTGAAAGTGATTCCGCTTCTTGGAGAACACCCAGCTTTGACCCCTCTGCGACTGAAGGCATTGCATGAACTAAAAAAGAGCCTTGCTAAAGATGGTGCAAAATTGAAGTAATCCTTTTTTAAGATAAACAAATTGCCTCATTAATTTCTAATATTAGTAAACTTGAATGGTGCCACCCAAAAAAATTGGGAGATTTGCTCCTACAACTGAGCCTTGATGTTGAAGATGTTCAATCAATTCTGAAAAAGCTGTTGCATTTACCCTCTACCGTTTGGACATCTCAAGGAGAGAACGTGTCTCAACTTTTAGGTATGCGCTTAAATTAAAAAGAGATAGTCATGACTTGTCTTGAACCTTTTAACTGAATTGAATTAATGTGTAACTCTAGCCTGCTTGCTGTCGAGCATTCTCCAGCGAATCTTGGCTCTCCGGAATGTAGCCGCTGAAAACACCCAAAATTTGAGCTTGTCTGAGAAAGAGATGACCAAGATCCTGGAAATAACCTCAAATCTGCTTCAGAAAGAAGATTTGGAGTTTGAGCGTCTTGAAAACTCCTTGCACATGTACCTTAGCACATATCCTCATCATGTTAGGAACATTGCAACAGGTACTGTGGCTAAATCTATGCTTAAAATTGTATACCAACTTTTAATTATTATTACAGATTTTCCTCTTGTATTACTAAAGAAAGAAAGTGAAATATGTTTAAAGCTTGCTCAGATATGTGTGACTTGGTCAGACTGTACTGACTTACAAAAGTTGGAAAACTGGGCCAAGCATGTGGAGATAGGAAAAAGCCTTCCAATATACAGGAGTCTATTGAGGCGCAGTGGAAAAGATTTGTCACATTACGAGGCAGCCATTTGGCCTGAAATTCAAGTAAGTTGTATTAGAATGTGTGTAATATTGCTAATAATTATTAATTTAGGAGACATTGTTTGAGACTTTGATCAGTGCAATCCATTCAGATGATGATAAAAAAGCTTTATTAGGTAAAAACAAGGACGCTGTTTTAAAATTAATAGAAGAATGCTATGGTATGTGTTTTCTCTTATCATTGTAGATTTTTAATATCGGCATGTATTTAAATTTTCTTTAGACAAAACTGCTGCATCTAAAAAAATACTCAAGTTGCTGCAAACCAGTTTTGCATCCGATACAAACACCGTTCAATACATGTGCAGCATCATTTCAAAAGGACACCAGAAAAGCCTTCCAGCTCTTGTTTTGTGGCTTTTGAAAAGCATCGTAAAGCTACAGGTTACCCCTGATGGTAAGTTGAAATATATGAATGGTCGCAATATTGTTTTTTAATATGGAAATAATTTTAGATCCATTGATGTCCACCCTTTGTGAAGAGCTATTGCGGGTGTTAAGAGAGAATAGTGACTCCAGCAACTTGTTCTCTGCAACAAGCAACGACGATATGTTTGAATTTTACAAGGCAACCCTTAACTTTGATGTAGGAATCAACAATAGACTCCTTAAGTTACTTGCTGTAGTGATTTCAAAAAATCAAGATCAAGCACACTCTGAAAAAGTCTTTAGCCTGATTTTGTCTCACAATCAAATTTTGAAGTGCTTACTTGGTCATGAAGAGGCTTTAAAAGGTAAATTAAAGCAGTTTGCTGAAAGTTATGTCGCTAATTTGTTATTTTACACAGTTCGAATTCTTGAAGTGATAGATGCAGTGACTACTGCAAACCATCAATTGATGGAACCTAAACTTGTGCCGGTTTTGCTTGGAGCATACAACGCCTCACTTAATCTCAGTGATCAAATTATTTTGAAGGTTAGGATTCCAGCCATTTTTCAAAATTAGTTTTTAATGGAGGCATAAATAATTTGCAGCTTCTACAGAAGTACGAAAAGAAAGGAGTTAGTTTCAAAGAGTTTCAACCTCTGTTGTGGGGAGACGCTGCTACCACTCGATACTCTCTCAGATCTCAGCTAGGCCAGTCTTTAAAAAATCTACCAAGCCCTAGCCAGGTTCTGAAGAATCTAGATCCATCCAGAGTTTCCGCAACTCTGAATAAGTATAATTCTATAGACATTGTTTAGAGAGCACTCATTTCTTTATCTTCCAACTTCAGCTTTCCACTTGATCGAGGTTTTGAGGAGGTGCTATCAGTAGGAGACGGGAGAGTTTATGACCCAGCGTTCCTGCTACCCTTGTTTGCCTACATTCTGCTTCCAGAAGTTCCACTACAGCCATGGCTTTTTACCAGGAATGCATTGCCCATCACGCTGATGGCTCTTTCGTCAAATGTTAGTGAAATGCGGAGACTGGCCATGCTGACGATATCAAGATTGTATTTCCATTATGAAGCTGGAAAGTATATAATCTGGAGAAAAATATTGAAAAAATTTTAATTTCCCTCCTTTCAAGGATATCTTTTGAGAATAAACTGTGGTTGAATTTTATGGACACAGTGAGGCTAACTATCAGCAACTGTGCAGATTTACAGCTTGCGCCTGTTATTGCCTTGTTCTTGGCGCGTTCATCTCAAGTCATCTCAAACCCAGAACACGACTTGTACACAATCTTGAACAAGTTTTTGCTTGCTAAGTCTTCGATTGATACAAGCACACTTCCAGAGTTCTTGCGCCTCTTGCACAGTTCCGTACCAGGACATAAGTTCGTTTTTTTATATATAATTTCAAGAGATACTAAATGGTTTTTGTTTTTCAGGACTCAAAGGCAGTGGATGCTGAATTTGATGAAGGATGGAATGCGAACACAGAAAGACTTCGACTTATTCTTTTCATCCTTTGCTTTTAAAATCCTTTCTTGTCTCTACAATTCGCCTCTTTCAGATCCCAAGTCAAAGGTAATTTTTTTTTATTGTGTCTTTAACATTTCCATATCTTTTCTATTTTAGATTGATGTTCTGCAAGTCATTGCTGCTGTTGCCAAAATACCTGGTGCTTCCAAGAGACTCCTCTCAAGTTCTGGGCTCATGAGTTGGATTGCTGGGGCAATCGTGTCTCTCCCCCCAGCTGCAACGAGTGACATTGCTGAGAACCTCATTACACTGTTGCAGAATATTTGGGAAAATTCTGATGTGGTAAACATTTTTCTTTAATTGACGTCATTTTTCAATTTAAGATATTTTTCCTGTCATTGCATGTTTTTGATGTTTTGCCACATAAAGATTTTATTTCTTGAATTTGTTTTCAGCCTAATATTCAAGACACCGTTCTTTACTCTGTTTCCTTGCTAATCAAGAAAATCCCAGCTCAAAGCAAGCTACTTCTCCCCCTGATCAAGCTATTGACATCAATTTTCCGCGGGAATGCAGCTGCGAAGGAAAGCATTGCTGCAGAGGAATTGGTCCACATTCTTGATTTGTGTAAAAAAGCAGGCATTCGGAATTACTGTCTATGCAAGGATTTGTTACAATTAAAAGTTGCTGGAGATTGTGAATTTGAACAATCCGACTTGGAGAGGGAAATGCAGGATCTAATCTGCCAGTGGATTTTATAAATAAAATATGTTTTAATTAATTGACAACCATAAAAATGTGTTTATTTCCTTTTTCCAAACTTTTTCCCACCCTTAGAACTCTGGAAGGAGTTTTTTGTAGCGTAATATTTTTCTCTACCACCAACCACTTTCTTTGAAGGTTTTCGAGTGTCTTCCTTCTTCCATCTCCTTGGTGGCTCGCTTCTTTCGTCCGACTTGTTTTTCTTCCTCAGCTTATCATACGGGCTGTACTTCAGCTTTTTGGCTCTCGGAGGTTCGAATAATCCTAATCATTAAATCATTATCAACTCAAAATTACAAATAAGATCTTTACAACCTTCCTCAGGTGCATGGCCAACTTCTTTCTTGTAGTATTCAACATCATCGTCTACCACTTCTTCCACAGGCTCCTCGTTTTTGCCTTGTCCACCCATAGATCTTTTTTTGTGTTCCTCTTTCAACTCAACCTTCCTCTTCAAATTGGCTTCCTGCACTTTCTTCCGCTCATCCTTGATTTGCCTAAATAAAACCATTTTCTTTCCTGAGAAATTGACAAGCGCAAATTTGATCATACTTCTTTTGATTCCGCATTTTGCTGATCTGTGCCTTTTCTTCTTCGGTCTTGAATACGAACTCATGGAACATCACGTTTCCACCCATAAGATCATCTTCCACTTTTACAAGCTGTTAATGGAAAAATAATTTTAATTAAAATTAATAGATATTTTTAATTACTTGAAGAGTCATTCGAGGTCCTAATTCTGAGAGCCTAATAGCTGTTTTGGTCGAAGCCACTGCTCCCCTCGATGGAAGGTCTTGTGGTAAAATAACATGACTGTTAGGGTCGTCTTCAGCTTCACTTTCTGATGTGGCTCCTCCATCACTAAAATTTGTTATCCCGTTAGAAACAATAAACAATTTAATTTTACAAAAATTGTATTTTACCGATCAATATACTCAGAGATATCATTGAACTTGGAAAGATCAGGGACTTTACTTTGCACAAGTTTTTTTACACCCCGGTTGAGTCCGACAGGGACAGCCCTGATTGCATAATGCCTGAAGTCAATAAGTTTGGTCTCTGGATCATAGTTAAGCAAAACACACCGTCTCACATTACTCAATTTAACCTAGGAAATGAAAACAAAATAAAAAATTAAATTAGCACGCATTTATATTGCAATATTACATTTTCATAATAATCATACCTTTGTCAAATTAATTGCTGGGAACATATTTTGGAATGCAGAGGCAAGAAGTTTGAGGTGCATTCCCTCTCCGGAAAAGCTGTTCAACACAACAAGAGGAGCACTTGCAAACATTTTATCATTTGAGACTGGTTTCTTCAAGGACGACAAAACATCTCTTGCAAGAACGTAGTCATGAACCTTCAAGGTCAAAGTGGGTCCTCGTGAGAGACGAGCCACCTTCAGATAAATTGCCATTTCTGTCTGTGTGAAAATGTTGAGATGGGAGACATGCAGTGGGCCAGCAATGGATACGAAGTCTTTCAAACTGTTCCTTTTCCTCTCCTTGAAGTAGAGTTAAAAAATATGACATGCCTAAATCAAATCAATGGGATTTTCACTCTCACTTTTAAACTTATTGCTGTGAACGGCTCCATGACTTTCCTAAAATCCTTAGTGAGCTCCTGGACGTAACCACTTGTGTTTCCTCTGGTAATCACAAAAGAGTGCGGTGCCCGCGTCAGCTCCTCTGGCTCATTTGATTCTCCAGGAGCCTTGTTCTTGTTGCGCCGAACTGAACGTCCCTAGGATTTGTGCGATCGCGTGATTATAAATAAAGTGAATGTCACAATCAAAGTAAAACATCTAAAAATAACACTCACCTTCCTTTTCTTCGCCATTCTATTGTGGAGATCTTAGATCTTCTTAAAAATTGAGTCCAGAATTGCACGACCACGTGTGTAGTGCTTGTTTGTTTACTTTCCTCTCGAAGCTTGAAGTTGAAGTGGGGGAAGGGGGGAGTGACTTAACTCCAGGGACCGGCATTAGGTGGCGCTTTCTTGCTACAAATCACGGTATTTTTATAATTTATTTCAAACATAATCTGATATTTTTTACACATTTTGTAAATTTATGTATTTTCAATCAACTAAATTTATAATAGTTGCCAATGCCGCTAGGCTATAATTGAATTTATTTCTTATTCAGTAGATCAAGTTATAATTTTTTTTTTTTTAATATTTTGCACCCTAACGAATTAACCGAATTTACTTCTCTATATTAAATAAATCCTTTTTGAATGGAAATTATGATGTGCTGTAAATATATCAATAATGCATTATTTATTTTAAGAACCAGCCTCTGTTTATTAAATTTTACTCATTTAAATCAACAACAATTAAAGATATCCAATTTTAATTTGTTAGGGGGGAAAATCTAATGTAACTTCCATGCCATGCATGAACATAAAATCTTATTAAAATGAAAAAAATAGAGAACAATTCAGGAACAATGTGACAAGGAAATTTATTCTGCTTTGCTATGCACTTTTTCACGATTAGAATCCTTATGATGAGGGTCACTACTTGATTTTCTATAAATTTTTCTAAGCCCAATTCCAATTATATATGCCAATATGCTGACGACATGGCCCATAAAATAAATAGCTCCCCAGTTTCTAATAATTTTATCTGGATAGAGGTAAATGAATGGCAAGGACATGTATGAAAATGCAAAAACTCTTGGAATCCAGAAAATCCAGTTGATGATTTTTCGCTTCGCTCCCGTGTATGGCTGTCGATACAGTTTGTCATAAATATCTTCTACGGGAAGATAGAAGGGAACAGATCCTAAGCACAGGTAATATCCAATGTAAACACCATGCCAATATGACGAAATGAACATAGTGGCTGCAGTTCTAAAATTACAAAAAAAATGTCAATTTTCATTTCTAAATATTGTTTTATGAACTTGATGAACCTAAAACTTTTGTTGGTAACTCGTTTGTAGACATTAATTGCCAGCCAATATTGTACAGTTGTATTCCAACAGTGCATTCCTTCCCTTACGGTGGGTGAAAATTCTACACCCCAAGGCTCAACGTTGTAGACAGTGGCAAAATTGTACTCTTCCTTTTTAAGTTGTTGAGGATGTTCATCGCTAAAAATAAAATTAATTATAACTAAGACATTTATAAAAAAATCAAATTAATAAAAAACTAATTTACAGTTCCAAAAGTTTGGTGTAATCCTGAGGACCAGTGCCAGTTCTGGGTCTTGTACTAACAGGATAAGCGCCGAGGCCAGCCATTATGCAGGCACACTCTGACAAAATCATGCCAGTCATGATTCTCATGCGAAATGTAACAAATGATGGAAGCATGTACAAAATCCTGTACACCAGGGATCGTTCGTAAACAAATTCGTCGGACAGTCCATACTACCACAGCAACATAATATTAGACGAATTGTAATTTTTATATGCAAAAAAAATCTTACATCCCACGGATACATTTGAGATAGAACATAAAAGGTGAATGCTGCCATCGGAGCAATAATTACTCGCTTGAGCATATGTTGAGTGCAGTTGACGTTCTTCCAGTACGAGCCGTGCATCAGGTCATAGTAAGTCCTGTATCTATAAAATGGCCCTAAAATCAATCAACCTATGGCAGTGGCTGTAAAAAGTGTTGTAAGTAATCACCTGCCAGGACACCAATGTAGCAAAACGAGTAGTGAAAAACGTCGGCCAGGTCTGGCTGGACTCTGAGAAATTCGTGTTTGTCTTTAGAACTCTTCATGGCCTTCTGTGTGTCGTGAACCTCAAAAGCTAGTCCAACCAACTAAAAAAAAAATGATTTATTAAGATTCCATCAAGTTTTTTAAAACCAAACCTTTAATGTAAGCATCATTTGAATTAAGTTTGTGTGACCTGGAGGATATGAGATTCCAAAGTAAACTGTTGTACGGAAGAAAGCCAAGTAGATGAACGTAAACGCAAAACTGTATAAATGACACTTCCTGTAAAGGATATTGTGATTAGTTTATCAGAATATACATAAAATTATTATTAATCACAAGAAAAATATAAGTGAATTTAAAATTGTCCTACATTTTGTCACCGTAGACGATAAAAGCTGCATTGACCACAATGCAGATGATAGGGTGGACAATGTGAAGACCCGAAGGAATCAGCATTATCATGAATCCAACCGCAGAGGCAGCCCATTTTCTTTGCAGTGGGTCCTCAATTTGCCGTAAAATGTGTCCAAATCCAATGGCAAATAGAAGCAAAACTATATAAATTATATCGTCCGAGTTCATTTTTAAATAAAAAGTGTCCTGCTCTCTCTCCCTCTCTCGCTCGCTTTGCTTGGGTCGGTGAACTTGTGCTACCTCAAGTTTAGTTTTTTTTCATAAGAATTGTTTGTTTTTTTCATGAAGGAACTTAAGGAACAACAATTATTTGTAACACGAATTCATTCAGCGAAGAGAAAAACAACACTCCCAAAACAAAGTCCAGCTGCGGCTGCGATCCAGTTCAAAATCAGCTCCAATCAGCTCATTATCAAAGTTGCCAACTTAACTTAGTTAAGCGCGGCCGCGTACCAACGTTAATAATGCCGCCATTGATTTACTAGGATTTGTTAGGTCCATGAATGCCGCGCATAGCGCATATTGTATGCACTAGGCGTTTAAAAAAAGAATTATTTTTTATTATTATCGCCAAAAAGAACGTCACATTTTCACAAACAAGGAGGGCCAAGGAGTAACAAACAAAAACTAGGAAAATTTTTATAAAATAATCTTAATTAAATTTAAAGCAGAATTGAATCTATAGTGAATCAGAAATATTTATTTTCTCTTATACATATACCCTCTTACTTATCAAATAAAAAAAAAATAAGCAAATATTAAATAGCCCAGCAATTTTTCTATCCCCAGAACGGCATTTTCAGCGGTTTCGCAGTTTTCATCGGTTTGCATACTTATTTTACCATTTATACCTATATATTTTACGATACATGCATAGATAAAAAATTCAAACAATTACTTTAGATTTCCAATTTCCATTATCATTTTTTATTAAGTCTTATAGCTAGGTTTGCATTTTGCTATTTATAAGAAAAGGGTGCATGTAGATAAAAACATTTAAGTTCAATAATAACAATGAATCTTGATTTCAAACTCATAGTCAGCATTAGCTGCAACAAATTACAAAGAGATTAGTCTCTTCAAATTAATATAAATATGATATAATTATGACATTCAACAATAAATTATACATTAACATCTTAATAATCAACAATTTAACAAAAGGCAAAAATTGCAATTAAAATTTTAACAATTTTTTTTGGTAAAATGAGCAATAATATATATGCTATCCATGATCAACCGTGCTTCAGTATTAAATAATTTTTGTTTGTTATAGATTAAACAATTATTACTTTTAAATAAAAATTTCCTTAACTTGCATTGGATCAACCAAATAAACTTTAATAAATTAAATTTAACAATATAAAGATATTACACTTCCTTGAATACTGAATTTTACTGTATAGATTTGTTCTTTGGAAATGACAGGGTGTGAATGCATTAATTGCATATTACATGTGCTTTTAAAAAGGACATCAACAAGAAAATATTATCTTCAGGATAAATGTCTTTTGGCCTTTTTCAGTGCTTAATCTAGAGAGAGGGGACTCTCTTTGAAAGAAATAGATCAGTAGCAGTCATTTGATAAGTATAGTTTCTATTCATTATTTAGTGGATTTAGTGTAACCTTCATATTTCTTCTCAATGAAAGTCAGTCCACCTGCGTTAACTTTGCATAAGATGTATGAGAGGAACATGAAAAAATTTGACTCTAAGTATGTCTCCAAGTTATTTTGTCCTTTTTTATGAATCAGAATAATTTATTTTGACAATATTCTCTTTGGTTAAGTGGGAATTTAAGAATTCACATGAATTTGAAAATGCTATAAATGCAGAAAAATACTTAATCACTGCTGCTTCAGTTTTGCTTTGCAGCTAGTTGTGTTCCCTTTTGCCGTAATGCTATCAAGGCTGCAAGGAGAGACATCATGAAGGGGGTTACCCATGCCTTGAGCTGTTCAGAAGTGATAGGCCATTCAAATTCATTTGGTACGATTCTATCAACTGACGACTCAAAGAAACTAAACAACGGGAACCAAACCCGGGTTCTGCCAGAGTCTCGCTGCATCAGTGCCTGAAATTAAGTTTTTATTTAATTATATTTTATTAAAAAAAAAAATTGAGTTCAAAAGCGCATTTTTATAATTTTTATTTAAATTGGTTTTTTTATTATTATTAAATAATATTAAAATCATTGCTTTTTTTAATTCTCGAGTTAAATACTACGCTTAAAATGCCAAGATTACATAGCTAAAGAACCTAAATCAAAATGAAAATTATCTTTCTAAGTTATAAATTCAATCAACGATGTATCATAGCTGTATTATGATATGTTTATAAGCTTATAATCTAGATGATTGAATTTGGAATATTAGAGATAATAAACTGATAGTTTTATTATCTCTTTATTTGATTATTACTTACTGTGCAATATTGTAAGTTCAATTACCTGATTATTGGCCAGTGTGTGATAGTACAGGAACAAACGAGAAGTGATGTAGAAAGCGATAAAAACGTCTATTGAGTAATGCTCATGTGCCGAAAGTATGAAGAATATTCCAAACATGTTCAAGAGCCACGAAAAAGTGTGCAGAAAATACATACGCCGAGGTGTGTCTGAAATAAATTTTGCATTTTGAAATCACTCAATAACATAAATTTCTACTTATTTAGAAAAAAGAGGTGACTCACATTCTGTGATGAAGAAATTGAGCATTGTCAGGGCTACAGTGTGACCACTAAACATGTAGTCGCCACAGGTGCGAACGCCTTGAATGGACATTCCTGCTCCGCGCCAAATAACGTAGGCATGCTGAATCTTTGCCCACAGTTCTCCATACGGCTGACCCGTAAACAGACAAAGAGAAAGTTAGACAAATATAACGTAATTTTATAAAAACAATCTTAAAAAAGAGAAAATGGAGCAAAGGTCATGAAGACAAGGACTAACTCATAAGGCAATTTTGCGACATGTGCAACTGATCTAATTTTTAAAATTGAATCATTTTTGGTGCTAAATAGCATTTGATTCATTGTTATATATGCAACTATAATAATTAAATCATATTAAAATTAAATCATTAAGTCCTAATTTTGCAATAAAGCAACAAGTTCGTGCGATCAGTGAAAAAGCTGTGCTTTTCCAGCTACCCGTCACCTGAACAGCACAATACAAAACAAAATAAGTAGCTTGTCAAGTGGCAGCTGCACATTAGAAATTCTAGTAAACCCTATCTTTTGGCCTGCTCCTCCCATACCCGAGGGTTGCACTCGAGGTGTGTTCCTGGCACTGAGAGTGAGGTTATGAGCATGGTGATGCATCTCAACAAAAACACAGTTCCGCTTAGCGCAAAGAAGCGGCGCAGAAGGATAAATCTGGAAATGGAAAACAACCTGGTTAATGATATTATTATGATTTTTATCAGAAAAATAATAATAATAAATTGTAAAATAGCATTTTGTTAATTATAAATCATTGACATCTACAAGTAAAAAATAAGCTCTTATCAGCACTTGCACAACAAATGGTCTATCTTTTGTAAAATATCATCAGGGATATCAAGGAATAACAAATGCTTGAATAGTGGAATTTGGACTTGACATAAATTTGACCTTTAGAATGATTCGAACAGGGACCTAATTTTTTCCTCTCCAGATCTTGATAACAAAATTTTGGAGGCTATCAACTATCAAATTTGAAGTTTTTGATGCATAGAAATTCTGTCAGAGAATTTTATGATGAAAATACTCAAAATAATTGTAACCTGTGCTTGTGGGTGATCAGAACAGCTACCCAGATAAGAAGTAGCAACGAGCCAGTGACCTCGCACATGTGGAAAGCCCAGGAAATAGTTGGCACATTATCAAGGAAAATATCTGGAAGAGGTGGGTATTTTTTCATGTCAGGCACTCGGTCATGCACGATGACCATGACAAATGCTGTGATCCACGTAACCACAAATAAATAGGCCATGCTGAGCAGAGTTTTGCTAAACTCGGGTGGCAGGTGGGTGGCTCTGCCATCTTTTTTGCCAGGTAATTTGTTCGTAAGTCCAGCATCTAAGGAAAGCTTCCCTTCACTGTCAAAGTCGTTAGTTTCACACGATTCTTCAATCTTAGGTCTTGAGTATGCTGGTTGGACGGTTGGCGAAAAGGAAAGGCCCAAATCTTCGAGGGAGGGCAAATTGTGTTGTTGGAGTATTCTAATATCAGCAGACAACCTTTTAATATCACCAAGAACCTAAAAATTGAAATAAAGTATTTTAAAATTTATGTACCAAAAAATAAAAATTTAAGTCAACATTCAATTAGTCAATAAAAGGAATATGCATCTTAAACCAAGATTTAAGCATGCAATTGAATATTCTATTTTTTCTTGCTAAAAATGAAATTGAAAGGTATGTATGTACAATATATTTATGTATACATTAAATAAATGTGCACACATCCCAATGATATGTAGTTACCTTCATACTGACAGGTGGAGACTTGAGGTCATTTTCTGTCAGCGTCAACAAGGCCTTGCCATCGATTTTGTGCTCATCACAAAGCAGACTAATCACATAATCACTGTGGCCGCAATCATGCAGCCAATTTTTAACGTGGTCGCTCGACCACTTAAGCACAGCACTAGGAAGATCACACATTTTTCGCCAATTTGTATGCGACCCTCAAAATTCAGAAAACTCAAACTCGAGGCCTCATTAACTGCGTTCTAGTACAGCAAGAAGGGTTGAGCACCGGGTGGCTCCGTGGGCAGTCTTGTGCGTGTGACTCATCTGAAAGGAGAAAGAATTATAATTCTCCAGCGACATCAGTGCGCTGCCTCCGTTATAATAGTTCTGCGCGATTTTCTTGCGATTGTTTACCATTTCGCTGAACGGGGTAATACGTCATTCAGCTAGCTGCGACAAGCGAGTTGCACCCAACGGATCAAGGTCAACGATCTTCTGCGCAATCACCGAGTTTGCCGTGACCACATTCCGCGTTGCAACTTGAAAGGAGGTGTACTCGGTCTTGAGCGCTGATTGGCTGTCAACTCTTGAGCCCGTCAAGTCAGCCAATAGCAAAGCATTCCTCCCGCTGCAGCTGCAGTGCCAGTGCTGATTGTAAATAAACATAAAACATGGCGATGGTCGAAGGTTCTGTGCACGACTCGGCGTACAAGGGCGATTTAGAGCACGTCCGAATCAACTTGGACAGAGATTCGACTTGGATTTCCAAGCAGGATAATGTGAGCTGAATTTCGTTTGATCATTGCTCCGTTTTTCCTCAAATCTATCTCATAATTTTGCTGTTGAAATTTTGCCGCATCATTCACCCTGGTTTTAACTCAAATTCATTGATTTTCAGAACGAGAGGCTTCTTTTGCACTGGGCTGCCGTGGGCGGTCACGTACCCATCGTGACACTGCTACTTGAGAAAGGCTCTCCAGTTGACCCTACTGATGATGTGAGCATTTAAATAAAAACTAGTGTTGCAGTGTTATGTCAAATTTTCAAATTTCAGTTTGGTGCCACGCCTCTGATTCTGGCTGCTTCTGCCGGGAAAGAAGACGTGGTGAATTTGCTCATTAAGCACCATGCTAACGTCAATGCAAAAAATCAACAAGGTCACTCTGCCCTGCAGTTGGCAGCTTCAAAGGGATGGCGCAGTGTGAGAATAAAATAATATTCTATGACTAATTTACTCATCAAAAATAAAATGTCGGATTATAAGAGACTTTTTTTCCTTTACAGATTATTCAGCTACTGCTCGCTGCCAAGGCTGATGTGAACATCAAGGACAGCAGGGGTGCAACTGCTCTGCATCGAGCTGCCTCCCAAGGCAGAACTCCAATTGTCAACATCCTTATTGCAGTCCCTGGAATTGATCTGTCTCCTGCTGATATTGATGGAAATACTCCACTGTATGACCATAATATTACTTTTTTCTCTGCTACATTTATATTTTAATTTAGGCACCTCGCTTGCGAAGAAGACAGGCGTGATGATGCTCTGGAGCTTGTGCAAAGAGGTGCTTCTCTATCCATTAAAAATAAGGAGGAAAAAACCCCCATGGATTTAGCATCTCCTGGACTTGGCAAGCAACTGAGGGAGTGCTCGGAACAGTAACTGTCGAACTGGATTTGTACACAAATATTTTTCTGGGAAGTATGGGCATTTGGACTGAAGTACCCCCAAATCAACCACTTAACAGACTGCTTATTATAAAACTATTTCTTTTCGAAGAATGAAAATAAAGAAAGGGTGATCACTAAATCTTTTATTTGAATTAAATGACACACCATGTGAGTAAGATTTGGCTTGATTATTTATTCAGATGCAAGATACATTTTATACAAACTAAATAAACACAATGTGCATTTTGACTGACATTGGAACAACTCGTCATGCTGCAGACTTCAGCTAGAAGACAATTTTTATGATACTTACAAAAAATTCACACTTTAAACTGGGAACTGTTACAAATCAAAATGCAAACTGAATGATATCTCTTGTCAGTTGGAAGAATTTAGTGCTTGCCATTATAACGGTCCTTGTCTCGCCTGCGACGGTCATTTGACCTAGAGCGGCGTCTGTCCCTAGAACGGGATCTGCGCTTCCTGTCCCTGCTGCGGCTACGAGACCTGCGCCTATTGGAATTTGCTTCTGTTAACACTCTTATCTAAAGTAATGCTTTAATTTTACTTTCTCTCGTGGCTTCGAGAACGGGAACGAGTCTTAGACTTGCGACGAGACCTTTCTCGGCTTTTGGACCGCCTGGTGAATCGAGCAGGCCGGTCATTGTCCCTGCTTATTCCACGATCGCCGCGGTCAATATCTCTATCCTCTCTCTCCTTATCCCGGTCATCTTTTTTCTTCTGTCGCCGTTCTTCCATAGTTTCCTATCGAGATGGTAAAGTTAGTTCCCAAATAAATTTTATTTAAATCAAATTAGCAAACCTGTAACTCCGAAAGCTTTTCTCGAATTTTAATAAATCCCAAGTGGAGTTTGCCACCAAAGTGATCAGCGAGGCGGCGGTCATTGTCATGGATGCCCAAATATGCAGAGCACACCTCGCACACTCGCAACTTTTGCTGCTGGTAGCTCGAGGCAGGCATAGAGTTGCGGTACTCCTGCTCGGCAGCCAGTTTCTTTTTGCGCAAATCTTCGACTTCCTCCATCAACTTCATGCTCTCCTCCACGAAACCTTCGGCACCCATTTGCTCAGCTTTGGCAAGCTGCTTGCCAATTTGCTCTGCCAGCTCATGTACCTTTAGAGTAAAAATTAATTAGATAATACCTAATTTGCCACATTTTTAACTTGCTTTGTTGGCTTTTGCTGCAACCTCGGCTGAAAGTTCTTCTTGGGTTTCAGCTAGACGTTGTTTAGCCAGTTCAGTCCGCCGGTCACAGTCAGAAATGAAGGTCTGAAGATGTTCAGTGGCCTGTAAAGAGCAAAATTTTAAAAATCACATATCAACACATTATTTTAATTTATTCACTATAATGGGTATTGGGTTTTTCAAATATAAAAACCAAAAATTGAAGATATGATCATAGAATATATTGAATTATCTTTTTCATTCTCTTGAAATTTTTGCAACTTATATGATCAAATTTAACGAATAATAACCAGGAATAAATTTCATTGTGCTAGAATTTTTTAAAGTGTTGTGGGCCCCTCAAATTGCGAATTGTGCAGGAAGTTTGGAAAAGCAATACCACAGGAAGCTGTGGTAGATCAATATCGTGAAACGGAAGCATTTTGAACAGATTGGGGGAATAAATACTTACGTCAATATCATAATAGTAGTCTTTTCCCGAGCTGGCCTGTTCGTAGTCGGCCCGTAGAGCCAAATCATGGATCTTCGGGCATTCACCAAGGTCCATGCGCTGTGGACAAAACAGCAAATTAGCAAAAGCTCCAGATGGCGTTTTGATAGAATTCCATTTATCTTAGTGAATAAAATATTTATATTCAAAGAGGCAGGTTGGACCAATGGGTCTATTTTTTATATAATATATTTGGGACAAAGGGGATCTTTGGAAACTTGTATAAGCAAATATTTCTCCTGCAAAAATCACACATAATCAAACTGATGAGAAGGATAATATAGACAGAAGTGTCAATCAAATCAAAACGACTGCTGACCCACTGAAGCTTTTGGAAAAAGTAATGAACCAAAAACATAATCATATCAAGTAACCACACAACCCGCAGAAAATAGCAAACGTGTGTGTGCATTTTGGTAGACAGCACAATTATGATGAGGAAAATTAAGTTGAACAAGATCATTTTTTCTCAGGAGGGGCGCTTTAATTATTTTTGACATGCAATAACTTTTAAAAATTAGAGAGCTTTTTGTTCCTTCCCGGATCGGTACCCTGCCAGCTGTCTACACTTATTATAATACTGATTTATTATTCTTTAGAGGTCCCTAGCAGCATCGGAATTGAACTTACAGCCAACATCATCTGACATTGAAGACTCAAATTGGCGCATCTCGGCAGTTGTCAACCGAATGAGGGATGGTGTGCAGCGTTATAGAGGTTGTCTCTCGCCCCACCTACACTATCCGAAATTTCAGAGCCTTTCCCAATCAGTAGAATAATAATCATTCAGGTGTTACAAAGTTCGCTGACCTTTCATGGCACCCTTGGAGCAAATATATATTATTTTTTAATTAAAAAAATAACTCATGAAAAATATCACTAAACAATGTTTTTTTATGGTCAGAAAAATTTTATGTATTAATTAATAATGCATTTTATTTTATTCAATTTCAATAAGAAGAAAGAAATGATAGACTGTTTAAACCGGTTTAAACTAAAATAAAATTCATAAATATAGAATGAAGCAATTTTTAAATTGCCGCGGATTGATCAAACATTAAATAAAATAAATCCTACGTCGGTAATTATTTGGACCAAGGGCACCAAAAGGTAGCGTGATTTTACGAGTCGTCAGAGAAGTTTAATGTTAAATTATTATTATTTTGCTACATAAACACCCTGTCTGAAGGAATTAATCAGAATTACTCACGGTGATAGAGAGAGGTCTTGGCAACAAGTAGTTGGCTCTGATTACAACCTAATATTCATAGTGACATGCACCGCCATACTTTCAAGAGTTTACTTACAGAAATCAATCGATCGGCATTTATTTATTTTAAATTTACGTACGTTTCTCTTTAGCTTTGTATCATTGGCTCGTTTCGCTATCTCATGTTATTATGTTTTACTTACCAAATTTTGCTCTCTTAAACGGATATCGGGAATGGATGGGGGGTTCGTTTGCTTTCGAAGGGGCGCTTTTGGTACTTACCAAACCAATTAATTTATGTTTAATGAACAAATCCCTATAAAAACAATACATGGAAAAGAAAAACTCACCCAACTGACAGCACACAAGAAACATAATTGATCAAAAGATTGATTGCTCTCTGTCACCAAAATTTGTCAAGAGGTTGACTCTTCAAAAGGAGAGAGAGATAGAGAAAAAATTGAGCATTTTGCTGGATACGCACCAATACGAGGAATTCTTTCTTGTGCATTTTCCAATATCAATTTTCGAGCAAAAACAGTGTGCGCACTTTGCCAAATGCCCCATTTTTAATTTTTTTATTTTTAATTTAATTAGTCTTTTGTTGAAAAAATTATTATTTTTAAAGGCATTGCAGCAAAGATTTGCACACACTTGATTTAGATATACGTACACAGATTTATGTGAATTGTGTGAGCATCATGACAACTCAACCCATATCCCTGCAAGCACTGCAGAAAGTCGTGATCAAATTGAATTGTGCAGTCTTTTAAAACATTTCTCTGATTTCCAAAAAAAGTCCGTCGAATAAACCCCATGGCACCATTTGGAACATGAAATACTCACCGTCGAGCAGAGAATTTCGTGAGGGCAGCAACCCAGGAGAAAACTCTTGCATACTTTACTGTCCGAGAACTTCACCTGGAACTTGCTGTTTTCGCCTGAAATGCAGAATGGGAAATTTCCATTTAATATCTCGAAGAATTATGTATTGTAAATAATTATTTAGTAGTAATTAAAAAAAAATTATCAGAAAAATAGTTTCAAATTGAATGGAAAAGGGGCGTAAATATGAGACTAAATTTACTCCCCCCAACGTTTTGGCGACATGTCTGAGGGAAGCGGGTGCTTGCAATAATATTACTATGCAGTCTTATTCAAAACACATAATATGTAGAATAAAAAAAATGGGTTTTTGCAAATTCTGCTACGAATTGCAACGAACATCGTACAGCACAGCACAGCATGCGAAATTATCAGAATCATAATCGATTAGTAGCCGCCATGTTGCGACGAAACATCTCGAACTATGACCCAAAAAATGGGTCGGTTCTTCACTTACCATTGCGTCCAGTTCCCATCAACTGGTCCAGCATGGCCCTGATTTGATCGTGGGCCGACATATTGTAGTGTGGCAAGTCGGTATAGACTTTGATGAACGAAAATTCCCCGACTTTTTAACTCGAAGAAAAAAAAGCGTCCGGTCTCTCTCCGGACACAAATAACGACTGTCACGCCACTAGTTGACAAGCTGAATTTTAGCGAAGCTCCAAAGTGCTGGAGTGGGGTAAGTGAAAAAAAGAGCGCGGCGCGCCTTTTAGAAGGGGGTTTTGCTGCTGCAATCTATTTCACTTTTTAAACTTTCCTGTCAGAATTGAATTGATAATTTATTTTTCAACTAATAATCCCCAGTGAGCAGAGTTATGTGTATTAAGATTAAGATTTCAATTACAGAACAAAGAGATTGAAGAATTTAGTGGAGCGCTGAATTCAACAAATTAATGGTACATGGTACAGCGGCAAAACAGGAAAGCAGGTTTCCTCTCAGGTTGGCCTTGAAAGGTGATCCGTGAGCCCTCTACCGAAGAAACCTGAGAAAACAAACCTCCCAGGTAAGCATCGATTGGCTCATTTTTGGCGTCATATCACAAGACGAGCAAAACATTCGCGTGCGGTTCCCATGCCGTGATATTTTTTTTCAATTTTATTGCCATCATGTGCACATTTGCACTTTAAATGGAGTTTTACTGACATCCAGGTAAATACCAGTAATTACTTTAGGCGTGATCGCGTGCTTTTTGCCAGGAGCTGGTTATTTTTTCGCGCATTTCCTCATTCACTGGGATGACTAATTTAAAATGCAATAGTGTGCATTGCACTTTTGCAGGGAAAAAATATAATTTTATTTCTTTTTCTGTGATTATTACTTTAATCAATAAATAAAATTTGGTACAAAGCTTATTAGGACGAGCAGTAAATTTATTTATCATCTTTATTTGAATTTTTTCGAGTCGGACTTAAAAGGAAACACATTTTATGGCACTGTATAATATTTTTTGTTATTTTAGATAAAAACCTGAACTTATTATGAAACTTTGCAGGTATTGTGGAGCAATGACAACACAATGGGTGGATGTTTAACACTTGACCGAGAAGAAGCTTTGGCGAAACGGAGAAGTAACGAAATAGACAAACAACTCCAAGCGTTTGCCAAGAGCGAGAGCAATGTCATCAAAATATTACTCCTCGGTACAAAATCGCTCTATTTATTATTATAAATTATAAATAATTTTTAACGCGCTGATATCCAATTTTCACAATCAGGAGCCGGCGAGAGTGGAAAGAGTACACTAGTGAAACAAATGAAAATAATTCACAGCGATGGATTTACTCGTGACGAGTTGCTTAGCTTTGCACCCACTATTAGAGACAATCTTTTGTCCTCAATGAAGTATGTCCTTGCTGGAATGGGGCTACTTCGTATAAATTTACAAAGCGCAAGAAATAAGGTAAAGATACAAGATAATACCATTCTTGTTCTTTTTAAACTTAAATAAATTGTATATTTTTGTTTCTCCTTTATAGGCTCATGCTCAGATGGTCCTCTCTACATTTAGTTCTCTAGACAAGATGATGACAATGATTCCAAGCGTGATATCCTCTTTGCATGCCCTCTGGCAGGACCGAGGGGTTCGTCTGGCAGTGGCGAGAGGATATGAGTACGAGTTGAATGACTCGGCCATCTAGTAATAAACTTTTAGCAAATTGTTTATCGTGCATTAATAAATTAATTTTTATCTTAGTTTGTTTGAAAACATGGAGCGAATCTGCAATGAAAAGTATGTTCCAACACCTACTGACGTTTTAAGAGCAAGGGTGCGGACGCATGGTGTTATTGAGACGCACTTCAAGTTAAATGATAACATTATCCGGTATTAATTATAAAAGAAAGAATTCAAATTCAAATAACTGGCTAACTGATTTTTAGAATGTTTGATGTGGGTGGTCAGCGATCTCAAAGACGGAAATGGATTTACTGCTTCGATGATGTCAAAGCGGTGCTTTTTGTTGTGGCCCTTAGTGGGTACGACATGACATTGGTGGTGCGTATAAAAAAAATAATAATGCGATTATCATCATAAATAATTCTACAAATTTTTCAGGAGGATCCAGATGTTAACAGGCTGGAAGAGAGTCTGAACCTGTTTTCCCAAATCGTCAACAACCGATTTTTTAAAGATGCTGCTTTTTTGTTGTTCCTAAACAAGTACGATCTCTTTCGAGAAAAGATTCTCTACTCTGGAAGGCACCTGAAAACTTACTTTGCAGAATTCAAAGGTTCAATCTAATGTGGAAAAATAATATTTAAAGTTAGTTAACTTGATTTCTTTGTGCGCAAATTGCAGGACCCGACTGTGATGTGGACAGGGCGGCTCTGTTCATCCAGCATAAATTCGCTCTTTGCAACACAAATCCTTCAAGGGGCGTTTCAAGTCATTTCATCACAGCTACTGATACGGCCAATGTTCAGGCAGTAATCCAAGGAGTAATAGACAGCGTTCTTAAGAAAAATATCAAGCAGGTTACTTTGCTTTGAACCTGTGTTATGTAGAGTACTTTTAAATTTTGAGGTACAAAATTCCTAGAGAATATACCATTTTTCCTTTTTTTTTATTAGTCGGCCTTGCTTGTTTTATTGAATCGGTTCATTTTTTGGTAATTGTCTGTGATACTAAAATGCCATCCAGCATTCTTTCATGAATTGTTTTTTAGTCTCTTGCATAAAGGGAATATGATGATTCAAGAGTGGGATTATATTGGTATAATTTTTGTCACATGAAATATATTATAATACTGCCGGCCTCTTGCGAATCTCATGTTTTTTTTAAACCGCGCTGTAAATGATTACTTAGTACGAAAAATTTTGATCTCGCTAAAATCTTCATCTTTACATTTTCCAAGACTGAAAGATGCTGCTGATTGATTAAAATGAATTGAATTGTATCACATCACAAAAATGAACATATTTTATCTCATCTCATTCATAATCAGATCTATTAATAATCTCTCAAGCGGAATTTTATTATTTTTTAATGGCAATTTAGTTCTTTTAGCCAATCTAATGTCCCCAACTTGAACTTTGAATTAATTAGTAGTTTTTTACTTTTCAATCTGAATATTTGGTAGAGGAAATTTCAAGAGGTTTTGAGTAGAATTAGTCTTAGTTGAATAAATTAAATGTACATAAAATATGAAATAATAACAATGAATAAATATTGTAGCTGATTTCAACATGAAAATCTTTTATTTTTGCCGAAAAATTACAGCTGTGCAAACTACCTGCCTATGGCTGAACCAGGTAGAATGACTTGAGGTTTTCAAATTTGTTTAGGAGCATTAATTGAGATGGTTTGGTAACTATCAATTTAAATTTTTTTCCAATGAACAAGTCGAACACATTTTAGATGCACATATTCACGAAATTGAAATTATTTTGTGACAGTAGTTGTAAAATACTATGGATGTACTCAGTGCATTTTTATGGCATCTTTTTGTTGAAAATATCATGTACTCAAGTAAATAATAGAAACAACATTTTTTTTTAATACAGTTATTCATAATTACATTTGGAGGCAAAATATATAATATATATCATTTAACCTTTCAGATTATTGAATTTGAATAATATCTGATGTATTATTGTTTGTATTTTATTGCTATCTAACATCAAATCGTTTTACTATTATATCATCTCTCATTTTCTACACATTTGAGTAGAACATGTAAATTAGATAGATACTGCCACCAACTTCACGAATCTGGATTCCATATTCATAGTAGCATATTGATTGGCTATCAATAAAATAAAATTGATTTTTGGTAACTTAGAGATTAAGCGCTGTGAGCAAATGAAATGGCAAAATTAATGATATGCTAGCAACATTTTGGAGCTAATTAAATCACAGTTTTAAAGCCAAAATAATTCATGACTTAAATAATATAAATATAATACAGACTAGTTATCGTTCAGTCCAAAATTATTATAGGGTTAATAATTTCTTAATGACTGTGATGCAAGATTAGCATTTTTGTTATAATTCCGTTGTGCTTGAGTAAATATACGCTTACATTAACAAACGTGAAATTTTCTCGCTAGTTAACAGTGTTCTAAAAATTTCAAAACAGTTTTTCTTGCTCCAGGATAATAGCAGCCGAATAAATGTACAGGCCGTTTAAACGGCAGATCGTTAATGAATTTTGCAAATAAATACAAGAAAATTCAACACTATCAGGCGTCTTACTCTTATGTATTGTTTTGTTCTAAAACCCAGCCTGACACCAACTTAGCAATTTACAATGAGAGATCTGGGAATGGAGAAAGTACAGACCGCACTTATATTTTCATACTTACGGTGTTTTTATCTCTTGGTCGACCATACTCTGCAATGAATTTAATACGTCGGAGCAGAGTAATCTCCCATTGAACCTACAACAATGAAATTACACATGAATAGATAATACAACTAATACACTGCATTAAATATAAAATATATATCAAAAATATTTAAAACATTCCATAAAAAATTTAGCATGAATCCTTAATTAAATCGAGCAACCAAAAAAATTTCCTTAAAATAATCCGATATAATCAAAGTCAATTAAAGTAACAAAAACCTTTTATATATATGATATGATTGTCTTAACTTGAGTAATGAATATACCTTGATTGTTTCCTGAGAAGGGAGGTTCATTGTAGCCACCAACTTCAGCATCAGGGTAAGAAGAGTAGCCAGCTTGGTTAACAGCAGGATCTGCTTCGTAGCTCGAGTTAAAGGCAGCTGCAGTGCCTTGCTTGAACCTTTGGAATGCAAACCAGGCACATCCAGCCTATTATGTGATTATAATATAATTATTTATGGTTTGAAATTAATTTTAATTCAAATTACCCAAGAAAAGATAGAAAAGAAGCAGAATGTTATAGCAGCCTGCACATTGCTCACACCATAGCCTCCTTCGGGGGTTTCTGCATCGCTCCATTGATTGGCCAAGTAACAAAAGCCGATGAAGTACAAAAAGGCCCAGAAACCTTTAAACAATTTTTAATTTTAAATTTCTCATAAAATTGAACTGAAATACCAGAAAATCCCAGGTCACCGAGAACAAAATGTTTCCTGGTTTTGACAGATGACATTTGTTCGAAAAGAAATTCTCCAACCAGGAAAATGATGGAAGCCAGGAATGCCATGACTCCAATGAAGGTGCCATAGTTGCAGGCGCCGGAGTCATTGTTGTATAGGCAAACTTCTTTGTTAGTTTCATTGTCAAATCTCCAGCCTTGAGAAGAGATGCATCCAAAAACTATGATGGCAAATAGCTGTAATTACAAAAAATAACAATAATTAATAATTGTTAATTGTTGTTATCAACAGTTTTTAATAAATAAAATATTCTTTTTTCCCGAGACCATAGCAAAAGGATATATTTTAATTACATTGATATACATATCATACATATATACAACGCAAATCAAACCCCTTTGGTCTTTTTAAATCTAAAATCCAGGTTTTTTGTTTTGTTCGAATTTTGATTTTATAGTGTATTGGCAGAGTTGTTTCAAAGAAAAAAAATTGGACCTAGAGGATTCTCAGAAACAAGAAAAGGCCTGCGGAGTTCAAAGAAAAACAATCTTGAAAATGGGCTACACATAAGAAAAATCAATATTGAGAGCCACAATGGCGAAAACATAGGCCAAAAATCAATGGTTACATTGGAGCCGATTTCAACCAAAGAAAGGGTAGGAATCGATGAAAGTTAGAAAATAAGTCGAAGGTCATACCAAACAAAGTGCCCTGAGGATGACCTGAGGCCTCTGAACAAACTGGATGGGGTCGAAAGCACCACCCGCTTTTCCACCTCCGTACGCTCCACCCTCCATTTTTGACAGGTGTTCTGCTTGACTAGGGTATTTAAAGTGCCCCTTAAAAGTTCAAAATCAATGTGAATTATAATAAACAGTGCTTAAATAATAAAAATTATTTTTTTAGCCTTATAATCTAATTAATTTCTAAAAGTTTACACTTTAAAATAAAAAAACTTATGATTCAGAGTTGTTCTATTGACTAGTCTTTCCTTCCATTATCCTTGTTCGTGTTCAGTTGGTAGCTCTGTATTTGTAAACAAAACATACAACAAGAATGGCAGACGACGAGTTTGATCACGATGAGTAAGTTATATTTTTTGAGAATATTGTTCGTCGTATAAATGTTAATAACTTAAACTCGTTCCTACAGGCCTGGAGATGACTTCGATGATGTCGAGGAGGACGAAAACATCGACGAGATGGACCAGCAAGAGGTAGGAAGCTGTTCACTAAAATGACCTTGCTTGCTTTCCTTCTAGATGTTTTCGTTGCCGGTTACACGTTTTTCATTTTGGGTTTGTTTCTGCACAGAATTAATACTGGTGCTAAAACTGCGACACTTCTTGCGTTTGCTCCCTGTCGTTTCAGAAAATTGTAATTGCACAATGATAATTAATAATCGATTTATTAACAAACACCATGCATGGATTTTCACCGCATAATTCATACCGTTAAAATATTTCTGTACCCTATTATTTACCATAATTTATTTTTCACCGAGAAAGGGAAAAGTGAATTAATTTTGCATTTGACTACGCTTATGATACATAGATTGTTATTGTTTAAAATGGTATTTTATTGAAATATGTTAAAAATTAATTGAAATGCAACTAAGTAAGTAATTAATTAAGTATTCAATTACTTAGGAGGAGGGCGAAAACATTGAGTTGATCGGCAGTGCCGAGGCTCTAGCGGTACAAAAGTCCAAAAGAATCACCACGCCGTACATGACAAAGTAAGAACAAAAACTTTTGACGCATCTCTGATTAACTCGGAGCTCATTGCAGATATGAACGGGCCAGAGTGTTGGGCACAAGAGCGTTGCAAATCGCTATGTGTGCGCCGGTCATGGTGGAGCTTGACGGTGAAACAGACCCTCTGCAAATTGCGATGAAAGAGTTAAAGCAAAGAAAAATTCCTATCATCATCAGACGGTTCCTGCCCGATGGCAGCTACGAAGATTGGGGCATTGACGAGTTGATCATAACAGACAATTAACTTTCAGTTCATTTAATTTTAATTCAATATTTTTAAGGGAAATAAAGCTTAAAATTTAAACATGATGTGAAATTTTTACTTCAATCAAGGAAACTAATTGAAAATATTATAAATTCCTCCACATCTGCTCCGCATTTAGTATTATTTAACTTGGTGCTTTATAAGAATAATATTTCAACTATCTTAATTAGAAAATTGAAGCCAGACTAAACTGTGTGGAAAAAATGACAAAAATACTAATGAAGTCTGACCTTTTTTCTACGATGTTGAGCCCATTTTTAATTTGCTCGAGTATTAACTCTCAATTTAAACATACACAAAGAGAATAATATGTTAATTTCTAGAAACCGTGGCTTACAAGTATTTTGATGGTGTAGTTAAAAATTGAGCATACTTTTTTTCAATCCAATGACATTAATAATGATCATTGACTTTTTTTAGATTTTCAACTGCTAATATAATGATAATTACAACAGCAAAAACCTGTAAATGAAAAAAACTCATTGATTTTTTATATTTTGATCAATTTTTATATTCATATTTATTGCCATGATAGGGCTTTCTAACTTTTTAAAACAATTTCTGCAGTTAAACTTTTTATTTTTTGGTAAATATAGTAATAAATTAAAAGGGTTGTTATTAGTAAGACTAAATAAGTATGAAGATCAAAAATTTTTGTGAACTGCTGCAATAATTTTTATTGTTTTTTTTTTGTGTATGACAGGATATAAAATATTCAATTGCAAGATATCTTCTGATCATCTCCCATACTTTGATCAGAGTTGAGTTTGGGGTGCAGAGCATAATGGATTTCCATTACAGCAGATTTAATTATTCACGCACATCTGAGTGCTCCCACGAGCGGCGTGCCAGTTCACTGCATTTAGATTTCAATTACGTATATGACAAATGGATTGCGGACGAGCGGCGATAATGACAGTTAGTTAAACTCACTCTGCGCGGACAGTTCATTTATTGCAAAAAGTTCGAAGAGAGAAGAACGCTTTTCATAAGGTTTGCATGAGTTAATATATTTTTTAATGTTAGTATAGGTTGAATGTAGAATTTAAAAATTCAATAGAGCCAAGTTTTGAAAAATTCGTCTCCTGTGAGCAAAGACAGTTCGTGGATAAGGTGGTTGTAAGTTTTCCTGGACTCGATTTGGATGCGTTTAAAGCATCTGGGAACGCAACGCCTTCGGAAAGTTTCCACGACTTTCTTGTCCTTTTCGTAGCTGTCGGAGACTTTTTGGTAAATTTCTTCCTCGACCTTATCGTTGTAAATGCTGTCGTCAACTCCCATAAACCGGCAAACTTTTTTCAACTCCTCAACGGGCGATTTGATTAGCTTTTCAAAAGGAACGACGTGAATTTTCTCCTTTGGAAAAATTTGCATAGCATTTTTGAGGTTCCTCGAATACTTTCCAACTTCAACGCCATCCACGATTTTCTTGATTTCCTTCTGCCTTGCGACGGGATGCCTCGGTCTGTAAAGTTAATTATAAAATGAAAGTCCAATTAATAATATATTATGTTTTTACTAACTTAGTTTTCGCTAAAAATTATAACCTTAATCAACAATATTTTTCATAATTAGCAGCATATGATTTTTAAAAATTTGATTGTTCACTTAAAAAATGTTAAATTTGCAAACGGTCTTTTGATTATGATTATTTAAATGAAATTTGAAATAAAATCAATTATTACAAATTTTCTGGCACTCTCAGTAGCACACGTTCAAGAGGATCTCTCAAGACAATCAGGAGTTTAGAGTTAGGGCTCATGAGATGGACCCTCTCGAGAATTTTGTGGCGCGAAAACGCGTCTGGCGAAACTTCTACCAAGACTTGCCCTTGAGAAAGTTGCGGCATCTGGGCTCTGCAACAAACGTCAAAATATCATCAAAGATTTGTTTAGATTTATATGAAAACCACCAAACGTTTACTTACTCGTACCAATCAAGCCCCCGTGCAAATTTGCTGTCGCTCTCGAAAAAGCCAGTCGACTGATTCACCGTTTTGATGCTCGGGTGCTCTCCTAAAAGTTTCAAAAGCAACTCATAGCCGCCGTCGCGGACGCCAATTGCCACCACTTGAGGAAGATTCCTCTGCAAGTGCGACGCCGAATTTTCATCAGGGGACAGCTCTTTGTTGTTTCTGCTCTTGGCTTGGGCAATTTCGCTCGCGTTTCCATTCCACGGGTCATATCTCGGGATTAGCTCGCGTCGTTTGGCGCAGCGTTCGTGGTCGTAGAGCACCAAAAGGGACACGAGGAGCAGAACACAGGTCACGATAAGGAGACACAAAAGTCTCGGGAACTTTGGCTTCTTTTCCGGAAACCAGAGGCTGGAGCCGACGTCCTCTTTGCCACTTTTTGACTCCATGACTGCTAAGTCGAAATAATCAAACAAGCGCGATCTTGTTAGAAAACAAGTATAATCAAACATTTCGCAAAGGATTGTTTATTTTTTAAATGGCACGTGCGTTTGCTAGTTAATTTAACTAAATAATCGTGAAAATTATCTGTTTGGTAATTTTTACAAACAGTTTTTGACACTTTGGCAGGCACGGTTGCGTTTTATTAATCACGTGCAAACAGCTGCGTATTCACTTTCCACAAGTCTTAAAAAAGGACGTAAATAAATTTTAAGGCTGAATCAATTTGAGAACATAATTATGAATTTTATTTATTGCACATTGATTCATATCATTTCCAGCCAAAATTAATGCCTGCCATTTTGTAAAACTCTTCGTTGAAAGGCTTGTAAAATTCTTTAAGTTTTGCAAGCACTTTTTGGTCCACATCAGGATGTTCCCTCCCTTTAGCCTCGTGCATACACTTATTTCTGGTCATCTGGAAGTTCTTCGAGCACATGAATCCCCTTTCTTCATTGAAGAAAAAGTGTTCCTTTGTGATCAATGGCTCGAGTCCGAGGAAATCCTCCACTTGCTCCACTACCATCAGAGGGTCTTCGATTAATATTTCCCCCGAGACGACCAGAATCTGTTCTCGAGGGAATACTTTCAGCCACCTTTGGAGATTTTGCGCGTACATTCCCACTTTGATTGGGGCCCACTCGGTGTTCACTTTGCCAGTCGCATTGTCAATCGCCAGTGACTCAAAAGGCGGCAAATCCGAGTCATGAGCATGATGGGCACTAAAATTGAATTAATTGTAATTTTTTTTAACATAATGCGAAATGTGTTCTCAAATTTTTTGGTTGTTGAAAATTTAACTCACAATCTAATGTGGACGTAGTCAGAAATCGCCCTTTGCACAGGGTCACGCACAATCAAGATAAGTTTGATGGTGGAGTTCATTTCATGGATTCGCAAAGGAGCAGGTTTGGAAACAAAGTATTTGGGTGATTTTTCAATTGTAATTTGATTTGGTTTTGACAAGGGTAACTGAGACCTACAATATAAAATTCAAGGATTAATTTTTTCTGGTGTACTTTCAAGGTTGGGGTAAATTTCGGAACCCTCTGTAATTTGAAAATTTTGCAATTTACCTGTACCAACCGTAGCCTCGTACATAAGTTTCGTTGTTGTCGAAAAAATGAATTTCTGTATGACTTATACGGATCCTGGGATGAATGTTAATGAATTCAATGAGAGCAGCGGTCCCGCACTTTTTGGCACCAATGATCAAAGCTTTTGGTAAACGTTGCGTCAGGTTTCCACCGAAATCGTATTCCTCAGAGCTGAAGAGAAATAGATTTACTAAAAAGATATATTTTAAACGAAAAATCTTGACAGGTATACTTGTCTTTGTCCAAAATATAGATGATGCGCCTCTTTTTCAGTTTCTGCTCTTCATTGTTTTCCGTCACAGTGAGAAATAAGCACCCAATTAAACTGAAAGCAACTAGAAGCGCGAAATAGTGAAATTTTACGCTCTGTCTGATTTCTTGCTGCATTGTTCTAATGGTCACTTGCTATCACTGACTCGAACAAAATTTGCACCTCGTATTATTTGATTACGTCGGCACTTTTTCGTTTTAAATGTTATTCATGTTTGTGTCTAACAAAATTAATTATTTAGAAATGTTGAGAATGAGTCACACTTTAAATATGCAAGAAGTTCTTCTGGCGAAAGAATGGGCTAAAATGGTCAAGAGACCGGCAAAGAAAAAACCAGTAGAAAACCCAGCCGAGGCAATGGAAAAATGGGATTTGCTTGCCCACGGGCGTCAATTTTGCTCCAGCACCTCTCTGCACGGCGTCCAGTATTTTGGGGAGCCAAAGCGACACATCATTGAAAGGTTTACAAAATTAATCGTTTGAAATTATGTTATATGAAATTATTTCGATGTCAGACTTTTCTGGCTCGGTGCTTTTACACTAGCGGTGGTGACCGCGGCATTCTTGATACATGACCTTTATCACATGTGGGACACCAATCCAGTGATTGTCTCTTTTTCGGCCTCCTCAACGCCTATCACGTCCATTCCATTTCCAGCAATAACCGTTTGCAACATGAACAACGCAAGGCGATCTGTGGCAGAATCAATTCTTTCTCAGTATGAAGCAACATAATTTAAGGATCAATATTTTGTTTATTTTCCACATTTTTACTGTACGATGCATTTTAATTAATTTATTGCTTTACGTTATCTAACATTATGTTTTGTTTTTCTCTTTATGTTCACGAACTTTTTATTCTTAAAAGTAATCTGTAATCTGCACAAAGGCCAGTGTTATTTGTTTTAAAATTCGTATCTTTCAAAACCGTATTTAATTATTATTTCCAATGATCTTCATTCCACTTCATTTTGTTCAATTTTTATATTCATTTCCTTTATTATTATTTACTTTTGTTTAAATATATTTTAGAATCTTCATTTATGTTTTAAAATTTTTTTGTTGCGGGAAAATATAATAAATGTTGTTAATTTTTTCTGAACAAATGAAGAACCGCTGATCACTCGACTGTCAACATCGAAAGGGTCCTTCTGAATGATGTATGCAATATGAGCTTAGGTTCTGAAGATCCAAAAAGAAAAAATCCAAAAATATCTCCTCAGTGGGACGACTTCAGAGATTTCATGATTAAAGTAAAACAAAAACGTGTAACGCATATAATTTTGCCAAATTACAATTTTAAAGGTTAACGAGCCGTGCCACGAACTTCTGCTGACTTGTCAGTGGTCAGGCGAATCTTTTTCTTGCTCCGATCTTTTCAACTCGGCGCTAACAGACGAAGGGTTGTGCTGCGTCTTCAACAGGGTGCCTCGCAATCTTCTTTTCAGAAACCCTGATGACCTTCCTGACTTGAACATAACATTTCCATTTCCCGCCTTTGATTGGAATCCCGAAAAGCAGTACCCGCCAAATGTGACGGCCAAAACATTGCCCTGGCGACCTGAGGGTGCTGGGAAGCACCTTGGTCTGACCATCATGCTTGACTTGGAGCTGCACGAATATTTCTGTTCCTCCACAGCCTCTGCTGGTTTGAAAGTAAAATACATTATTTTAAACATTTTAATAATAAAAATTTTAAATAAATTAAGCTTACAATTTGACGGTGCCAACTCTTAAATAATATTTAGGGCTAGTTTTAAAGAAAATTGAAAGCAAATTTTTAAACTATTATTCAGTTACAAAGTAAAAACCGAAAAACTCTGTTCTTCTTCTTTTTTTCTTAAATATTATAGAACCAAAGTTTTACTTTGAAAATAAAAATGATTCTGTTTTAATATAACGTTACAAAGAATAAATCATAAATATAAATAAGATATTATTTAGAGTCGATTGGAGTCAATGTGATAAACGTGAATGAATTTACGGAAATAATTTTTTGTTTGCTCTAAAAATATTAAAAATTTGGTCACATCAGGAAGTTAAAATTATTCTTAAAAATCTCAATTGAAAAGAGCAATATACAAATTGCTGTTTGTTTATTTCCCAGATGCTCCTCCACAACCCCGTTGAGTCACCGAAAATGTCAAGTTTCGGGACAGCCGTCTCTCCCGGGAAAGAAAATTTTGTAGTGATTCGGCCTGAGCTGACTCGGTCAACAAGCAAAATTGAGCCGACCGGAGTCAACAAAAGGCACTGCTTCTTTTTGCACGAGCGATCCCTTCGCTTCTACCGCACTTACACCAAGCACAATTGCGCCATGGAGTGCGAGGCAAATTACACGCTGGCCAAGTGCGGTTGCGTCGAGTACTTCATGCCAAGTAACAATCCGACCGCGTTTTGCGCATTCATCAAACACGCCGCGTTTACTGTTCCTTTTCAGAGGACAAGAATTCACGGATTTGCGGTAGAGACGATGACGAGTGCGCAATTGCTGCTAGCGGTAGATGAAAAAAAATTATGCAAAATGCAATGCTTAGTTTTTCCATGATACTAAAGCATTAATGTTTTTTTTTACAATTTTTGATATTACAGAACTTATTGAAATATTTAATTTTTTTTCATGGTTTTTCTTCATAGAAGACTCTAGTGAATCTTGAAAAATGAGAACCCTTTTTGATTATTCTTTTTATTTATTATTCTTTTTCTTTTGCTCTCAAAAAGGCAGGCTTACTATACCTACCCTGACCACCGATACTAATTTTTTTAATCCAATAATTTGTAAACAAATTAATTACCAGCCGAAGTGGAGCTGCATTTATTCGACGAGGAAAACAAGTCCAAGAATAAGCAGGGTGGCAACGCAAATCCAAGCTGTCACTGCTTGCCAGGGTGTCATGAGCTCACTTACAGCGCTGAAACCTCCAGCTCGATCCTTGTAGACGTTTTCCCTGGCAACGAGAAATACGTCGCCAAAGGCGAAAAACCGCGAATCGACAATATTACCTACTTCAAGTATAAACCGGGCTTAAAGCCTAATATCAAAGTTTTTAATTTACGATTTTATAGGGACAACGTTGTGATAATGCACTTTTTCTTCATGGACATGCAAGTGCTAAGTTACGAGAAAGACGAGCGGACCAATTTCGTCAATTTCTTGGGTACGATAATAAAAAAATTAAATTTCTGCCATATGAATATTGGTTTCAGCGAGCACCGGTGGGCTGCTCGGCTTGTTCCATGGGTTCAGCGTCCTGAGTGCTGTTGAAGTGCTGTACTTTCTCACCATTCGGCTGATTTGCTCATGGCGGAAAAATAATAACCGCGTCGCCGGGAAAGTAGGAAAGCGTGTTGCACCTCCGCCGACGCTGCCTTACTTTCCTTGATGGGCTTGAAGAATTTTCCAGGGACATGAAATATGATCCCATAATTTAGTGCGGCGGATAAAATATAACTTCACTCCCACGCTTTGGGTTTTGTTTAATAACGTAATAAGATATTATACACGTAGTTTATGAACAATGGGCAATTACTAGTTGATGTTAACCAAACCATTCCTTTGTGGGCAAAGCAACGTTGAATTGTTACTGTTCAATTAAATAATCGTGTTAATTGGTGTTGTCTCTACCATAAAAGGGTGCGTGACTTATTAGTGCATTGGATCCTTCAGAGTTGTGAAGGTGCATTGCATTCAATTATCAGGTGCATGAACATAAAATGAATCACCCGTTTACGCTCTAGCTTTATCAGAATACAAATCACATTATTGTTTGTATTGAACCCACACATCATTCGACTGTTGCTGAAATTTATTTGCTTAATAAATAGAATTGAATGAAATATTTCTATTTATTAACACAGCCCAAGGTTTTAGAGGAATTTATTTATATTTGTATAGTGTAACGAGCCTGGAGCAATACTGCCTTCGCCTTTCCCATCATTTAACGTGACTCAAAGCCATAAAAAGCGTCTATGGATTATTTATAAATCGGTTTGCAACACTTTATTGGTCGCGTGTAATTAATTCAAAATGCAGCCAGTCGCGATGTAATGTTATCCTCTCTCTTTCTTGCAGTGCTTCATTATTATCATTTGTCCGCTCTCTGAAAGGCAGTTGGATTGACGTCATTAACGCGGCGTGTAGAAGCCGAAATGAAAAAAATCGAGAGTTGTGAAATGTCAACGCGTGGTCAGCAATTGGAAAAAGGAAAAATAAAACGCTGCAAAGCCGCGCGGCCTCATCAAAGCTCTTGCGCCGTGACTCGCTTATTCAAGTGCACATAAATACTTTTCAATGCGAGCAAAACCAGGTCCGTCCTTAAAAGGAACCATTGAATTTGCGTCAGCAGCACGCATGAGAGTCCACCTCGTAAATCACGATTAACGGCAGTGTAAAGTAATAATTCCAATTAAAAGACATTAATTGCGTTAATAGTTTAATAAAAATTTATATCTTTTATCCGATCTAAGAAAAGTTCCACAATATTTTCAATATTAATTCTAGTTTTTTTCGTTTTATTAAAAAAAATCTTTGCTTGTTTTCTTTGGTTCTTTTTTCTCTATCAGTAGAACACGATATGGAATGTCAATATAACATTGAATCGTCACTCGCCCACGCCGTCATGCACATTGAGCACCACGCGTGCACCATGAAAGGAGGGGATTTTAGAGGGGCGTTGTTCCAAAACACTGGCGATCTTCATGGAGAACCTGTTGTTGGAGAACAAGATCAAAGACTGAAAATATAATTAAAATCGGACTGAAAAATTTTCATAAAGGTATTGAATTTTTTTCCTGAAATTTTTATGTTTGATTAAACTATCGACAGCTTTCAAAATGCTTATAGTTTGCTTTTTTTAAAAGATAATTTATTTTAAAATATTATAGTTCTGAAAAAAGACTTGCTCAAGTTTTCTGTTTCACAATAAGTATTATGGCCTTGCGGTTTAACTAGACTGCCAGACGCATTGATTAAAACACTAATCCATGTCTTACAATTAATCGCTCAAATAAGCTTTGAAGTATTAAGAAGATTAAGACTGATTGCGGCTTATAATAAAAAGTTGATGTTTTTTTGAAAGACTGTTCAAACGGGGGATTTTTCATTTAAGATGACATGAAGCTATCAGCATTATCACACGTGTTATGTTAACTCTTTTGTGCAAACATATTATGTAATATTTTTTGATTGCATGATTGCACAATATTTCTCTTTGGTTACGCGTTAGTTTATTTGTTTATTTATGCTTTTAATAAAAGTAACCACGAAATAATTATTTTGTTCATAAAAAAATCTAAATTTCCAATTTTATTTATTTGTTTGATCCTAGATAGAATCTTTTATTTTTATCCTGCTCATCACCACAAAATAAATGAAAGATCAAAATTTGATTGTGGCCAAGCAAACTTGATTAGTGGATAATTATTTTTTTATTTTCAAATAGAATCAAGCTGTACGGTGTTGCGAAAAACGGACCTTCATTAATTAAGTCTAGTAAGTCCTTATTGTGCTGTGTGCATCATGCTTCGGGACCGGGCACTCGTACTCACTTTTATCTGTCATAATCACATCTTTGAGGGTTTATATAGAGACAAGCTCAAGGGTTTGCATGGGTTTGCATAATAGCTCTGTGCTTCCCTATCTGAATCGCAATCAATAGTCCCAAGTACGCCAGGCGTTTTATCTCTTTTCGGTTTCAAGCGTGCCTGTTTTGCTTAAAGGCGGCCCTCAGTATGCGCCAACGCCGAGTAGGAAACATGCCTGACGTGAAGGTCCTCGCGGGCACCAACAAGAAGCCCGCTTCGAAGGCTTCGAAGGCAAAACAAATAGGGTTCAATTTGCTGGAAAGCTGCTGCCACGGAGTGATTCTGGCCGTCGTCATCTCAGTCACATGGTTCAGCTTCGTCAATTATAATATTTTCTCCTTTCATCCACCTTTGTTAACGGCAGGGGTGAGTTCAAATTTTATTTTCTGTATGTTCAAGAGTAATCATTTTGTCATTAAATATTCGTTTAGCTTAATTTTAACTACAGAGAATTTCAAATTTCATTCCTCAGTAAAAAAAAATTAAATAAATATCCCCTTACGGGATAAAAATGTTGTTTAAATAAATAATTTATAAAAAAGTATTTATTATGCTTTTTTTGATGAACTTATTTTATATTATTTTCCTGATGGGGATTTAACTTTGCAGTACTTCATTTTCATGACTGAGGGTTTCCTGATCTTCCTTCCGCAAAGCTTGCTGACCAAAGGCTGGAATCGGCCCTCGTTGGTCAAACTCCACTGGCTGCTTCAGGTCTTGGGCTTCTGTTGCATCGCCCTCGGCCTGATCGCCGTGGTCACCATCAAGATCATCAAGGGCAACCCGCACTTTTCCTTCCCCCACTCAATCACTGGTCTCGTGGCCATCATTATGGCCGCCTGCACTGGCATAGGAGGCTACGTCAGCAGACTTAAACCGCACCCCAAAGGTCCCTCCCTGGCCCAAATCAAACTCGGACACGTTTTCTTTGGCATGGCGTCATACGTTGTTGGGGTAGCGGCCCTTGTGCTTGGATACTTCACATCTTATTTCGGCAAACTGGTTGATTACGAGTGGCGCTTATTCATAGCTGTTATCACGGTACTTGTATCGACAGTGGCATTTGTCAATGCGTCTGTCGGATTTTACAGGCGGGCGAAAAATTTGTTCAATTTTTAAGTGACATCTCATTGTCAAGTGATAAAAACACGGACTGTAATCTGCGACTTCAGAAAAGTCCAAATATGCGGGAAATGAAATTTTTGCAAAGCAAAACAACTGATTTACTGCTGCTTTTGTAAATTTTTATTAGCTTATTTAATAACTTAATTTTACTAATAAATATTTTTTTGAAGATTTACAAAATTATATTTTTATCTGATACATCCTTCAGCATTTTGCCCATCTTCATAATTTTAATTTAGGATAACATTCAATTATTTGTCCGAACGTCCGAACCTTCAATTATAAAATTGTATTAAACTGTAAAATAAATTAATTTGTGTTGATAATTTAAAATATAGAATTGTGTTCTAAATTGTATCATTGGTATAAAACTATGCAATAAATATATTTTGTCTGATCCAAGCACGATTCATATTCTAGTTCAATCATTAACCTTTGATGTAGATTATTAGTTAAATTGTAGTAAAATTATTATTTTTAAAATTGAATGGAAGCCAAACAAGGAATAATAAATTTTTTTAAATTTCTTATTTTTACTGAAACTATTCTTGTGTACATTACAAACGTCTCAATATAATATTATTTAAGATAGAAACGCAATAAATACAATTTCAACCTATAAGCCTTTTAACCCATTTTTTTACAAAAACTCATTCTGTGAAAAGTTAATGTTAATAGCTCAGATGATGAACGTTAGTTGCAATTGCTGGGCGTTTTCTTCCTCTGTTTATTAATCCTATTGTCGCCCATATGCAAAACATTTCCACAAGTAATGAACCGTTTCTACCCTTTGAAAACGTGTCACTTTCTTTCACCCGCTGCAAATCACTATTTCTGACTCATCATTTTGTTGAAAATCATCACATAATGAATAAAAAAACATGACGTAATCACAATTGATTTTTAAAGCTTTAAAAGATTTTTTTTAAATAAATTATTGTATTGTTTTCAACAATTGTATGAAAAGAGATTATTTAAAAAATTTCTCGTTATTATGTTTCCAATAAAATGGTCTTTTAAGATTCTCAGGCTTTGATAAGACGACACAAGTTTTTCAGAAGCGTATTCAGATAACTCGTGGAGGTTTGAAGGGCAGGTTCATTAGCAACACCTTCATTAATTAAAATAAATATGATATAGACATTGTTTTAAACTTTTATCGCTTTTTATAATATAAGTAAGGCACTTGATAAAACAAACTCATTGAGATTAATTTAAAAGACATACATAAACAGTAAATTTATTATTTTTATAAATCATATTCAATTCAAATTAACAAAATAAAAACTCACACCTCACCATGCAACCATTCATTGCAAAAACTTGACTGAGAAAGCAATGCAAATCGGTTGACACTTGGAGTAAAGTACTCTTTTAAAACTTGATAAACTTTCTGTGCGACCTTTGGATGTTTTCTTCCCTTGTTGTCACCCATGCAAAATCCATTTACCCCTGTGCTTCTCATGCACATGAATTGTTTTTCTGGATTAAAATAGAAGTTTTCTTTTCGAATCGCTTGGCGCACTCCTAGGAAAGATTGAACTTTTTCAAGCTCAACCCACGGGTCCCTGATGAATTTCTCGCCTGACAAAATGAGCATTTGCTCCGGCTTGAAGAATTTCATGTATCGAGAGTAGGCCTCATCGTACAGGCTCAATTTCAATATGTTGCGATTCTCAATCACAGCCAAAGAGCCGTTTTGAGCAGTATTAGTCACAGCCTCTTCAAGTGACCATGTCTTTCTGTAGTGTATCCTAGAATTTAAAAAAAAAAATGAAATGTAACGTGAAGAAGTAAATATAAAAATTTATTGAACCATATGTGTTTAAAAAAAGATTAATAATAATTTTCAAAGAAAATCTATCATTGAAATAGAATTTGGAGCTAAAAGCAGTTTGGTATTATTTTAATATTTTTATTTTTTTTTTTAATAATGAAATTTGAAATAGAATGAGTAATACTTTTCGTGAAGATAATCTGAGACGAGTCGCACAATTGGATCACGCACAATAAGAATCAGTTTGACGTTAGGAATGCTATCATATATTCTTTCAGGTGCCGCAAGTGATGGAAAATAGATCGGAGTTTTCTCCAAGATCACTTGGTCCGGCCGAGCTGCTGGCATTTGCTTTCTGATCAACCGCAGTTTAGTCGCGTCAAATATCGTTTATTGTAAAATCTCACCTATACCATTCAAGTCCTTTAGAAAAATTCGCATCCTTGTCGAAAAAGTGCAGTTCATCCGAGTTAGCAACGATTTGGGGATGCTTTTGCAAAAACGTGAGAAGGGTTCGAGTTCCGCCCTTTTTCACTCCAATGATCAGCGCATCGGGCAGCCGGCGCTTGGGAGCAATTTTTACAGGATGTGGACCATTTCTTACAGAAGACTCGTTACCGTCCCTTCTAAACGCGTCGTCCATTGAAGTTCTGATAGTTCTGCTGCAAATGGACACGTACCAAGTTAAAAAAACAAAGATCGCTACGTAGGTGGCGGATTTTCTCCAAGTCGTTCTGCGAAACCTCCTAAGCATTATGACTGAATTGAGGAAAAATAATATAATGCGTCAGAAGAAGTGCGGCTGATAGTATAAGGTTGTTGAATCTAACCGGAAGTATGAAATGAACAGATAGCGCGTGAAAATTGTTTAAGGGCACGTCAGGACGCCGCAGGTGGAACGTTTGTTAACTTTTTGGAGTTACGTTTTTCGTGCAAGCTTTTTGAAATTGAACGCCCAAGAAATAATAATATTTCCTGTTTCTTTTTTCTATTTTCTAATATTAGTCAATAACCCCACCGAACCTCATATATGAAATACCCTTTTTAATTTAATTCAGCTTTAATTAATCTTTCACTTTGCAGGAGCTTAAAGCAAATTTCACAAATAAAGTTTGACCGAAGAAACATCCCACAGCTATTTTTTTTTTAATTTTACATCTTCATTGAATCCATATTTCAAAATGATAAATAATAAAAAAATTATTTAAATAATAAAATTTAAAAAAAAATAATAATATTATTATTATATTATCTTTTTTTTTTTTAAATTTTGTAAGAGAAATATTAATATACACTTAACTTTCTTTTGCAAAAATTTAAAAAGCTGCACTTGTTCTTGCGACTCAAATGTTCACAGCGAGAGTTTTTCTTTTAAGATCAGAGTACAAAATGAAAAAAAAGGAAATTAAAATTAAATATACTAATTGTTTTAATAATGATTATTAATAACCATAAAAAATTTTACGATTTAAAATCGTCTTTTTGTAAACAAAGTTATGTAGACATAAAGACACATACAATTGTGCTCCCTTTATGAAGCTGTGTCGTGAGCGACCCTTTTTCTGCCAACTGCAAGATTGCTCACCGAGATTAAGACAAATCCCGCTTAACGAGAGCATAGAGCCTCGCTTTCTTGCCTTTGAAAACCCACTCTTGTCCGAGCGCCATAAATCCCGCAAAGGCGAATTGCATTGCACAAACAAGCCGCGGCTAATGAGAGCGCCGAGTGTTCAGTGCGCGAGATGGACTCTTTCGAAGAGGACGACCAGGTGGAGGAGTCGACGCCGCGAGACAACGAGGCGCCCACCCTGCAGCTCGAGCACGCCCTCTCCGACCTGGGCAGGGGTGGAAGTTGGCTGCGGGGGCTCTTCCTTCTGGGCAGCATCCCCGGTGTTCTGAACGCCCTCCACCTCGTGGCCTACGTCTTCTTGGCCTGGCAGCCGCGTTTCCTTTGCAAACAAAACGCGCAGAAAAATTCCAACCTGGAATTAAGTGTTTTGAACGGCAGGTAAAAAAGTTGTTTTTATTCTGAACTTAAAGGGGATTTGTAATTAAATCAGTCAAGTTCGTCTGATGAGAAATTTTAAATTTTTATTTAATAGTTCTTGCTCCTATACAGAATGGAACTCAGAAGTTGTACTAAATTTTTCTATCGCACCTCAGCATTGTGATTCGTTTGTTTTCTTGGAACCAGTGCAAGGCTCTACAATTGTTTCCGAGGTTATAATCAATATCTATTTTTGTAATAATTTTGCATATTTATTAATCTTTTTTTAGTGGAGTTTGGTTTGCGATGACGAGGTTTGGAGACCAATGTCTCAAGTGGCGCTCGGTATTGGTAAAATAATAGGGTCACTAGTATTTGGTTGTATTTCCGACAGGTGATTGCCGAGTTTATTTTTAGCAAACCCAGCCAATAATTAATTTTTTTATTAAATAGAATGGGTCGCAAAACGAGTTTCCTAGCTGCCTCCTTTGTGTATTTGGTCGCAGGACCGGCGGCCGCTTTTGCGTACCACTATCCCATCTTCCTCTTCTTCCGAGTTGCTCTTGGCGCGGCAGGTGCTGGAGCCTTTTCATCAGCATACACTATCAGTAATTATTTTTCTCAGAGATTTATTTTATTTCTTTTAAAGATGAATATATTGATAAATATAGCGTAATAAGCAACTTAAAAGGGGTCCTGTTATAGGCGAATTGTCATTATCCTTGTTTAATTAATCAATTATAATAATTATGTACTAAAAATTCAAAGAAAAGTAAATATTATTATAATTTTGTTTAATATTATATTTTATTTTTACTTTTTATAATAATTTACATTTTTGTATAAATTTTGTCTTATTAATTCTTGATTAAAAATTCCATGGGTCATATTAATATAACAATTGATTTTACTTTCAATTTAAAATAATTTATTAATATCATCAACTGCGACTAACTGCAGGATTTTAATACAGAAATGTCATTTGATTCGAGCTGGGTTTTGGTCGAGCTTGTTAGTGACTGGGTGTATGTTATTATTTTTAATATACCTCATAATAATATTTAAATAGTTAAATTAAAAACTTTTAAATAAATTGTATTCAACAATTGATTTGAAACAATGTGGACAAATAAACAAAAGATAATTTTAATAATGTCATCTAACTTATTTAAAAAAATTACTCTTTGTAGATGCATTTTTTTTTTTAAATTAAAATATTTTATTATGTATCACAACAATCAGAACAAATTCCACTGTTTGCAAAGAGCTCTGATTGCATACAATTTAACTTTACCCAATCAGAGAGCTCAAACGGCAATCAAATTATGATTCATTGTTGCGATTCTGAAACCTTTGCTATAATTTTTATTTTTATTTATAGCGAAACCTTCAGAGTATAAACTCTAAATTATTTTTAAGTCGTTTGGAATCATTTACATACCTTACTAGCTAGTTTTATTTATGCTTTAATTTCGTCAAAATTAAAATTAAATTAATTTTCAAATTTTTTGCATAAAATTAAAAAAAATCGCGCAGTCATAGTTTTCTCTCCACTAATTCTAGTGGCCGAGTCCGCATACGCACCTAGGAGACCGACGTTGGCCGTTCTCTTCAACCTGTCGTACCCGATCGGTTTTCTGGCGGCGCCCGTGTTGTCCCTGATTTTCCCAGGGTGGCGCCCTTTCCAACTCGCGATCTCGCTGCCCGCCCTTCTGCTGGTGCTGCCGTGCTGGTCGCTGCCTGAGTCGCCGCGGTGGCTCATCTCGCAGGGAAGACACCGCGAGGCTCTGCACGTCGTGCGCCACGCAACCACCGACAATATCGACCGCCAACGCAGCATCTCATCCACCGAGAACAGGTTCCAGCAACAGGTGCAATATCCATACCTATATGCCACTAGAAAACATTCTGCTTGTTTGCGAATGTGCTAATGGGGCTGCACACTCCTCCTCTCTCCAACATTTAATTATTCATGAAACTTTTTGCAACGCTCTGCTCTCCACTGCGGCGATGATCGTTGCAACAAGTTTCACCGCTGCAAAACACTCGTGTCATTCATAAATGTGTGGGTCATTATTATATTTTTTGCAGTTTTTTTTAAATTGCTTGAAAATTAATGTGTGAAAAATCTAATTGAAATTATCTATCAGAGAAAGGCGCGAGATTTTACAAAATTGAATTTTTCTTATTTCATCTACTGCAATTTAATTTATTGTTAGAGTAAAGTTTCTTTCACAATAATTACTACATACAGGAATTTTTCTTTGAAATTATAAATTATTTTAAATATCTAAATATAATATTGAATTAATTTCACTTAAAATATTATTCGTTGCACATCAGAAAAGATACAGTCCGCTAGGCATGTATGTCAAGCATGTTGCATTTTCACAAACTCTGTTCTGTAATTGCATCGGAAATTCACGCGGAAAGAACTTTCTCATTGATATTTGAATTATAATGATACATTTTTTCAACTTTTGAGTTATTAAAAAGCAAACATTTACACTTAGTTTACTTTATTTAATAAATTAAAAACATAGGAACTAATTTATTTTGCTTTATATTCGTTAAGGACGAGGTGTCCTGCTGGTCGGGCACAAAAACCTTCCTGGCGCGACTTGCTGGCCTACTCAGGGACGCAATGTTTCGCAAACGACTGCTGCTGTCTCAGTTGACTTGGTTCTCGTGCTCCCTGACTTATCACACCCTGATGCTGAGCGGAGCCTCCCTAGGGCAGGAGCCGCACAGGTACGTTGTGCTGTTGGCGTCGATTGAGATTCTCGCCTACCTGCTGCCGCTGCCCCTGTTGAAAAAATGGTCCCGCAGAATCTGTCTGGCGATTCTTCTGTGCTGTTCGACAGGTGCACTTGCCACGCTGCTGCTAATTCCTCAAAATTTCACAGGTCCGGTTTCCATATTATTTTTTTCTCAAAAATTTTAACAAAATTAAATCATCTCGTAAAAAGTATATTTGAAAATTATTTGTGATTGGCTTGATTTATTTTTGTATTTACTTTGAAATTTTTCTTTTTCTTTAAAGGAAAAATATTTGAAAATGTAAATTTTAAGCTACTTCTTAAATTAATTTTTAGTTGCCATTCTGGCTGCTGCAATGGCCAGTCGGTTTTTCATCAGCGCTGCCTACTCAGTGATCACTCTGTTCACTTCTGAACTCTTTCCCACCGTTACTAGAAACACGGCCCTGGGAACGTGCACCACTTTTGCCCAAATTGGCTCAATATCGGCACCTTTCCTCGTGGAAATGACGGTAGGTCGATATTATTAATTTGCCATTGATCAGATTATTTTAATTGGTTTTTAATCTTTTTCTCAAAACAAATGGATTTATTATCTGATAATCTGATTCATATTTTAGAGCAGAAAATTCACTTTTCGTCAATTTTAAATAAACATTTATAAAAAAAATTATATTGAAGAAATATTTTCAAAATGGGAGGTACAATTTAATATATTTTCCCCACGTACACAGAAGTTAAAGTTGAAAAGTCAAATATTTCATAGGACGTAGGCGCCAGCATACCGACGTGGGTTTGCTTTGGCACGTCATTCGCCGCCGTCATCTTCTCTCTCGGGTTGCCTGCAGTTCAGAGTATTAGCCTGTGCGACACAATGGCTCAAGCAAGGGTAAAATCCGCTAATTATTTTCCCCCTGTGAGCACAAATATGATAAGATTTTGTCTCCGAGATCAGGCGCGCAGCAGCGAGGCCGAACTCAAGGAAGTGAGTTTCTTCAGAAGAAAAGCCGCCGCAGGCGACGATGACATCGAGCAGGACGTGGCTAATGAACTGTCAGATATTCCTGAGGAAGAGACCTCCCTTGACCTAAGCCATCTAGGATTAGGGTGAATTTTATCATCCAAAATAATCATTTCATAATCATCCAAAAATATCCAATGTTTTTAAAATGTAAAAATAAAGTAAAAAAAAAATCATTGGTTTAAATTTAATTTCATCAAGTTTATTGTATTTCCTACTAGAAATATCGATTGGAATTTTGATAAGCTTAAATAAGCATGAGTTATCTGAAATACGAAGCTATCAGTGTGTGTTTTGGACTGTTGATTATTTTGAATGCAGGAAAAAATCTCAAAGTCCCTAACAGTTCAAAAGTTCAAAGGGGCTTTGACGTTTAATTAATGAAGAGTTCTAATGCACGTAGTAATCGTCAAGTGACTATTCATTTGATAGCACAATTGTAAACACTTTACTTTCTTGTTGTGGTTCTAATCTGAGAGACGCTCAAGGGTACTTGAAATTAAATTATTTTTGCAATAAAATTAAATAATATTGGGGGATATTTACAAGCTTATGGGATTTTTATAATAATTACAGTTTAACCATTCATAAATTATCAATGCTAGTGGTTTGGAAGATATATTTTTATTATGAATTTCAAAATTTACAATATTTAATTTTGTGGACATTATAGGCGAAATTTTAGCTATGAACTATAATACCAAAGGTCGTATCTAGCGAGCATAAACAGTGACAAGAAAAGTTATAGCGTTTTAAACAGTATTGAATTTGGTTTCTTCTTTTTTGAAGGTCCGAATTTGCCTTTCGTGGTCAAGAAAAATACACTTAGAAATCCAAAATAGGACAAGGAAAGGCGAGTTGTGTAACCCGCATGAATCTTTTTCGCAATACATTATTTTATTAACAGCCCTGAAGAGCATAATATATTGAGATTAAAATGTGTGTCAAAACTTAAGAGCTAAACATAAAAGTACAAAAAGGATGATGATCTGTGAAACCATGAGTGATGAGTTTGTTACGAGAACAATTAAAATTTGAAAGAGAAAGGAAATAGTTAAGGCAAAAAAGTTACAAACCAATTAAGAGACTAGTGTCTTTATGAAAAGCCGCCGACGAAAAGAACATACACATGTGGGTAGAGAGACATTAGCAATTCCAGTCACAAGGCGGTGAAACCAAGTAGAAGCAGGATGACTCACTCAACGCAGTAGTAAAAATTCTCACAATCAAATGAACACATTCAGTTAGTTTTAAAATATCTTTTTTCTTTGCATAGTCAAGGGACAGCGAACAGGTGAGACGATCACAAGAGGCCATTTACAATTTTAAAGAGACTACTTCTTATTCTATAGAATAATTTACTTTGTTCACATAGATTCGAATAAAGATTTATTATTTATATTATCTTCGGATATTGCACATTAAATTTATTTAGGCCATGTCAACCCTTGCCTCGTGTTTGAGTGTTAAATATTAAAAATATCATGACTCTGCACACAATTAGGCCTGCAAAAATTAATTTTTCTATAGCGCTAGTTCCCTCAGTAGGTCCATGCTCACAGTTTAAACAATTTAAGACAGGGTAAAAAATATTGCAAGCCTTAAAATAAAAAAGTCGCACATATTTACATCTTTGTACACATTTTTCAAGATATTAAAAAAAAATTCTTTAGAGACAACTTAATAATTATAAGAAGTGTAACACAATCGAGGGAAGTACGACGGTTGGAACAAGAGAAATAGTTCTCATTATTTTTTCCTTCTTCAAAATTTGTTTCACCGCCCGATGATGGTGGGCTCGTCGGCCATGGCCATCTCGTCGTTGGGCGCCTTGTTGCCCTTGCGCTTGCGGGAGAAAATCATGAAGGCGCACCCTGATACAAACAGCACCAGGAAAACCAGCCAGGCCAGTGCAAATGACCAGCCGTAGCTAACTACCACCCCCTTGGGGTGAACAAAGTGCAGGTGCACCCGTTCGTAGTCGATCGAGCTGATCAGCACCTCAATCACCACCAGAACTGAGCCACCTATGAAACAGTTTTTTTACATATATTATCTATAAACAAATATCAATTAAGGAAAAAATTGCATTAAATAATTTAATATTTTCAATGCTTATTATTTTTTATTTTCTTCATTTAAAAAAGAGTAATTTAAATTTATTTATACTAACCTGTGATAAAGTGGATACCCCCAGCCAGACGCTTGAACATGTATCTTGGGTTTTGGAAAGTATAAAGTGAGAAGAAGAATCCCATGACCATCAAAAATAGACTGATGATGGCAAATGACACCTCAGTCCGGCTGTAGTCTGCAATAATTAAAATATTTTTTTCTAAATTATTTTAAATTCATAAGAAATTGATGATAATGTTTGGACGGGGGTTTTGTGCAATATGATTTTAATGTTAGTTTTTCACAAATTCACAACGGATCTCAATTTTAATCTACTCGCTAACCCTACACAAATGTTACAGACTAATTTACCTATGCAAAACATTTTGCTTTTCTGCGTCCTGAAGTTGGTGGGTTGGTTGAAAATGCTATTAGACTCGTTACATCCTGAGCAAGACATGTCAAGGGGACAGACAGACAGACACGCATTTATTTCACAAAAGCACACGAATTTTTTAATGCGAGTGAAGGAGCAGCAGCGCAAGCCTTTCCTCCGGCGGGTTGCCTATTACTCGCCTCCGAGGCAAAATAATTTTACGCTCTGTTTCTCACCGACTGAAAATGAGAAAAAGGCAAAACGGAGCAAAAAGGTTGACGGGAAAATTCTTTGGCAACTTTTCGGAGTTGGCGAGCGCAGCAAGCCGTGAATAATACGGTTCACTTCAGGTGAAAGACAATCAACGCGTTTTTGTTATGGAAAGTTTCATCTCTCCTGCATTACTTACTCAGACTGCCGTGATCGACGGTGTGGTCCACCGTTATTTTATGGTCGCTTGGGAAGAATTCTTGATATCTGCACTTTGCTGTAACAAAAGAAGTAAAATATATTAAGAAAAAACTTCATTATCAGTCAAAAAATGTCATTTTTTTTGTTCAATTGGAAAAAAATGAAATTATTTTTAATTGCTGAAGTCGATGAAATTAAGAGTCTTTAATAAACAAAATAATTTAATTGCTTGCACTCTACGCATTTAGCTATAAATTGATTGTGAGAGGGAAAATTTATTTGAAAGACATTTGAAATAATTTTACATGAAGTGTAACACAAATTAGTGAATGTTGCAAAAACTTTTTAGCGCCCAGCATTTTCAACCAGCATCACTCGGCACGTTGAATGTTTTCCAAACGAACGAGACGCCAAACATCATTAATATCAGCTCAGACCGCGCGAACTTCAACTGGCACTCGCCGGCGGCCGTCACTTTTGCGTATAATGAAAGCCATGGTTCGAAAATAAAAACAAACAACGCCATTTCCAGGGTGGAGCAGAGCTTTAAACACCGCTCGCGCTCATAAAAGTTCCTCTGTTCATTTGGGTTATTGCTAGCGGGAGAGAGACGAGAAAAATACCTCTCGCTGTGAGTAATGTAGGTGACAATCATAATGGTTATCATTATTCGCGAGAGGAAAGCCTTTTTGGAGCAAGGCCAGATTCTTTCGGACAAAAAAGCGTGCTCTTTGCACCCCTGGCCAACGCCTCGAAAGCCTCCAGCTGAACTCGTGCCGTTGCCAAAACACATTGTACGGTTGAAATATAAAATTTAACTGGGACCAAACAAAACAAGTCTATGAAAAAATTGCTTAGATTTGCTGTTTCTCTTTGAGAAGAAATTCTTTCTTCTGTTTGCTTCCGAGAACAAGAGAAAACACACACTCACAATATAAAAATAGATCAAAGATGCTTTTATACTTTGTATTTATTAATTTTATTTCATGTGGCAACCGCAAAATGCTCATCAATGGAGAGTTTTTAAACATAAATTAAAGAGAATTTTGATTGAAATAATAATACCTAAGAGAAAAGTTATTCTTCAAGCATATCATTTGCAAAAATTAAATTCTTTAACCCATTTAATTGCTAAAAGAAAAAAAGTTTATAAATTTTGGTTTCAATTAAATATTTATTTATGCGTTCACCCTTTATTCTCTGCCCAAGTATATCATATATAAATTCAATATTACAAATTTTGATATATTACACGAGAGAAAAATAACAAAATACGATAGAGAAAAAAAAATTCATTATAAATTTACACTCATTAATTATACTTTTAAATTTTCCAATATTAATTTCCTTTTTAAATTTACTTTCCCATGTTTGCATTTGATCTTATTTTTAGCTTTATGAGTTGTATGCTTTCATCACTTGAAATAAGACTTGTTAATTAAAATTATATATTTTCATTGGAAAATTGGCTACATTTCCGTATTTATATCAACAACAAAGCTCTCCATTTCCTGAGAGGTGGTGTTCCCTTTAAAAATTGTTTCCTCTCAGTTTTAATAAATGTACGCAACAATTTTGAAGCATTTATTTTTCGGCGACCCAGTTTGCAAATATACGCGAGGTGTGAGTTTCGAGGGCTGTCGCATTTCCCCTGAAATCGCGAATCTCGCCATTGAAGCGACTGGTAACCATGGTGACAATTGTGCCGCAGCCGAGAGGGTAAGGGACCTGTTGCCTTTGTTGGCCACTCAACGCGCGCCACACTCTGAAAGAGTTCCCTAATGGCCTCCTTTCTGGAGAGGCTGCCGAATTAAAAGAGAAAAAATCACTTCCCGCTGCGTGGAAGGAGGATGGATCGAAAAAGCGGCAGCGATTGACATCGACACCTCTTTATATGCTCAAATTTCGCACATCAATATCGGCCCGATTAGGAAAGTGTCAATTAGAGCTTTGATTTAATTGAAAAACTTCTATTCGTAAAAGTTTTCACCCAAGAAATCCTGTTAATTAATTGAGTTTGTGCGGATAAGTCCTGTTAAGAAGAAAGTTTGATTAAAACGCGTAAGACAAAATAGTAGAAAGCGGAGTTTTGCGCCTTGGAAACTTTGCGCAAGTCGTGTGGCGTGACATAATCCGCGTGTGTAAGTTGCAGATATAGCAGCTCACTCGGAAAACTGGCAAGTCCGATTTGCCTCAAGGTTCCGCGCTGCCCAGCCATCACTTCCAGTAAACCCAACTTTTCCTCTGCAGCATTATCCATCCAAGTAGGTTAAAGTTATGCAACATGCACTTCGCTTGAGCTGCGCTGGTTGCAGGAAATCCTTGTATGCAGTCCGCTGTCACATCGTATTCAGACATTCCAAAAGGGATTTTTCATTTTTATTGTTGCTGCTCTTGGTTGCTGCTTCCGATCGGGGTTTTACGAGGGCAAAATTTTTTCAGAATTAGTAAGGGATGGTGTAGATAAATATTGAAGTGGTATCGCTATTTAACAAATTACAAACTTTTAACAAGTATGTAAATGTCAAACGGATGCCACATTTATCAAAAGATCATAAAAACAAAGTAAAAAAGTTAACACGTTTTTAAAATAAATTAAATTTTATTAATTTTTTATATAAAAGTCAATATATTAAATTTTAATACAGTTTCCCTTTGTAACCTATATGATGACAAAGTCCTAAATTTACTTAGGACAAGTTTTCAGCCAAATTGGCTTTTCTAATGTTCACATCTTATTTCAAACTCAGAACAATTATCTCTGCACTCACTAAATAATTAGGAAAGTTTTACTCGGCAGCTTATTTTCAATATTAAAGTCTTGCACATTGTTCAGCTCTAATTGAAGGGCAGAATTTTGCTCCTTTGTGTCGTGTTGTAAAATAACGAAATGGGCGGTTCAAAAGCGGTCAATTTTCACATAATTAGAGTAAATTACGCCCAGGGCCGTGCTTCTGTATAAACGACAATTAAAATTGCCCTGCACAACCTCTCATTACTGCGCGTCTATTTACCAGTAATGGAAACATACAGTGGAGTGAACGAGCGAGCGAGGCCCTACAATGCAGCATTATCGTCCGGTTTCAGCGGCTAATAAATGTTCTTTTATGTGACACGAGTAATAACACACGCAGACCGGGGCAAGAGGTGCTGTGGACGCGCACAAATTGGCCGCTTCGATTCGAGGCTGGCGCACGGCCAGTTGCGAATTCCTTTGTTTTGCGCTTAAAACCGAGACTGACTTTCAGAATCTTGCTCAACTCTAGCAAGAGGGATATTTTCATCCAATTTTAGCTTGCGAGTAATTTTCTAGAAAATCCGATTCCGTTCATTTTTTAGTTCAAATAAGATTGTTAATATAACTGAATACACAAAAATTATTAAATATATAATTTTTTTAATATTTTGGGATATCAGAAAAAAATTTGTTTTATGAATAAAAAGTATTAAAATTACTGGTATATTTAAAACCTTGTAAAATATTGGAAATCAGCAATATTAAAAAAAAAAATATTAATTCAATGTGGAATTCCGGAATGTGGAGAGGAATTAATATTTAATGTGAACCCTATTATCAGAACGTGTGCGAATCCAAGCGAGAATAAAACGCGCGGCGCAGGGATGATGACCGAATGACCTAGATAATCCGAACCTCATCAAGTCGGGGAGCGCATCCATTCAGTGCAGTTGAAATTTTTACCAGATAACAATCTGGCTTGCATTGTTGCTTTGCTGCCGGTGCAATTTTCCATTCCTACAATTTCAATATGGCTCCGAACATCCCCGTTGCAAATGCGATGCACGTCAAAGAGCTGCATTGATAGAAGATAAAGAACTCAATTATTGCTGCCCTCGGCATCTATCATGATGGATTCACTTTTCTCTATTACATTCACTATTGTTTGTGATGAGTTAATATTATATGACTTTCTCTAGAAGATTTATTAGAGAAATATAATTATGGACGAATAATAGTAATCAACATTTTCCTCCCGTTCTGATCTTTAAAAAAAAATCACCAGTAATTAAGTTGAAAGGGAAGTTGTTGAATTTTATGCCTAGAGCACTTTTCTGTTAATGGAGCTTTTCGTGAAAGTTTCATGTTTTATTTAATACGAGGTGCCTTTGACCTTTTCCCAAAGTGGTGCACGGATATGTACCGGAGGTGAGAGGAAAGAGCAACACACTCACACATGCGGTTGCCTGTTCACGGCCTGTAAATTTTAATAATTAATTCTTTTGCCTGTGCGCTACAGGTCGAATGAAAACGCTTTCAAAGAGGAGGCGTTCAAAATTCACATGAGGTACAGCAAAAGTGCTGCTAATTTCAAAGAGATGAAATTTAACTTTTAAATGGACATTTGGCACGAGGAAATATTTTGGCGCCGCAATAGAAAAAAACGCACATAGGCAAAAAAAATTAAAAGTACAAATCTTTAAGTCCTCTGGAAAAATCTATCCTTTCCAAAGGGCCAAAAGATGTCTATAAAATTAGAACTTCGTAAAAAATCATCAAAATTTACCTAGTTATAACTCGAAAAATTATTTACTTAACCCCTCACGTCTATTGTATAAACGAACTGCATTCAAAATTAAAAAGCATGTCATCAGATTTCTTGTCTAATAATTGCGGAGAACAATTTTGGGCGCATCTTCACATTCACGTGACGGACTAAGTGTTTTCCGAGCGATTGTTGTGATTGGCATGGACGAATGTTATTTCTGAAGCCGCATCTCAACGCAAACTAAAAGCCTGAACAGTCGACGTGACATAACACACCGTGAGAGTCAAAAACACGCACCGTCAGGACCAAACTGGCACAAAAGTATCGCCTTTCCTATAATTACGACAACCCTTCTATTCGTCATTATGCAGTAGACTAAATAATTGACCTCGATTTTACAATTTTAAAGATAAATGGAAAATGGATTTGTATGAATCTGAGTGACCCCTGAAAGATGTTTATCTGCAATGCAGTAGTTTGTTTCCATTGATTTTTTTTTTGCGAATTTTTTAATATTAGTAATTAATTCCTGCCAAGGCGAACGCATTGTGTAGTAAAACAGAGTTTACTG